TAAAACTTTGTTAATTTATCACATTTTTTCTTATTCCTGTGGCACATTGAGCAGTAATTACTTATAGAATTATTGCTAATGGATAAACTGTCATAATAGTAAAATTCAATTCTTTTCTTGTCCTTATTAGCCAAGACAGCTGCAATCAAGTATACTTACAAATCCATTGCATTTCATGCAAACTAATCAAATCTTCGAGAAAAAAAATGTAAGGATATAAAAAGATTAAATTCAACAGGAGAAAAAAGGTGGTAAATATTAGCAACTCCCACCTGTCATAAACTCGATACATAAAACTTTTAAAAAAATATTTCAACCTAATTTGCTTGAATATAATCTGCAAATACACAATTCATGACAGACTTATTGAAATCACCCAAGGATAAATCTGATCAAAAATCTTGTAAAACACGTAATTTTTATTCTACAAAGCAGAAGTCTAAAATAAATTTGACAACTTGATGAAATTGATCACAATCAAAACTAAACGTTTTGAAATATAAAATACAAGTTATTGCCGTTATTCTTACAAATGTGTTTGATATTTAACTTGTGATGGCACAGTTTGTGATGGATTTGGGTATAAGTTGAATATTTCCTGGTGTCTATGTTTGCTATTTTCTAACAAATATTCAATTTCAAACAAAGCTATCAGTGGGCGTATATTACCTTGCCTGGCAAGCTATCTTATCAAATAATGTGTGTTTGTTTAAATCAACAATATAAGCACAAATTAGATTTTTGGTATGATTTGACACAGATATACTGAAAATGTATCAGGAAAGTGGGCGTATCTTGCTAGGCAACCATTTGTAATGATTCAATATCTTTTGATTTTCAGATATGATACTATGACCTTACTAAGTGTTGTACTAACAGTACTGTTTATTGGAATTATGGCATTCTTTATGCATAAAGTTACAAACCTGGAAGCAGAGGAAGTAAAAAAAAAGATGGAAGCTAAAAAAAATATTCAGAAACGGCCTCCTTCCAGGTAATTATTGTTCTCAAATGTTTTTATCAACTGATATATTTAACATTTGATCATTACAATTTGATTAATCCAGATCGACTGTCTATATTATGAGATATGGCATGTAGTAAAGAATTTTGATGAAACAAAATAACAAAAATGTGGAAAATAGTACTTCTGAGTTCTGAACTAGATTTTACATCCCCACGTCCTTCTGAAAGTAAATTAGTCTACATGATAAAGTATCCTCTTTGACAGTATGAGGTTTTTTGTTTCAGTTCTCCTGATAATCAAACCATACATCTATATGAACTAAGATATGATACCTATAATAATCTAGTCAAAGAGGCTGATACAGGTTTAACTTTTATCATCTGTACTAATGATGAATTTAAACAGTCTCTATTGTGGAAATACGCTGAAATGATGCAACCCTATACAAGGTAAGATATTTAAAAATTGAATAACTATGAAATATGCATAATAGGACCTGAGAGTTTTTTGTGGAAACCTGCAGACAAATACAGCATATACAAATTTGCCATTAACATGAATGACATGCATGTTGGAACTAATTCCTCTTAGTTGGTACCGGTAACTAAACCATTATTTATATTACAGGTATAGTGCTTTAACATTTGGATTTTTACAATTAGAATATTATATTAGTTGGTATCAAAACCTACTAGAGACAAGTCTTGGTAATAAAATCAAACTAGAAAAAATCAAAATAAATAACTGTGTAGGAACAGTGTTAGCTATAAATGGATATCGTAAATATTATTATTTGTATCATCCTCGTAAAACACGAAGATATTTACGTCAACACAGTAATGTTAGTGAAGCCATGGGTTTATTAGATTCAGCAGAAGAGAATACAGATGATGAAGACTATGATGTAGAATCTCATGACAAAAGAGTGATGTATGTTAATAATATGTTAAATGGTTTAACTATATGGATGGATAGAGTTTTTGATGGGTCTATACGTAAAGTGCGTATTAATGAATGGCCGCCTATGTCATATTGAATATTGTTCAAACTCATGGTTGAAGAGAGAAAAACAAACAATAATTTCCAACAATTCATTTTGAAATAAAGATTGATCAAAAAATAAATAAATTTCAACAAAGGACACTAGAGAATTGAATACCTGAAACATAAATGAAGTTAATAGAGGTAACTTAAAGATGCGTGAGTGTACCTGAAAGTAATTTTCTGAATTTACTTATGCTCATGAAGAACATTATTCAAGATTTTAATTGTCATTTATATTTCATGGTTAGTGTATATATTTATTCAATATTATTTATTTATGTAATATATCCGTCAGGTTCCATGTAACCTAGCTACACAAACAGGTTAATTTTTGAAATGTGTATCTTCCTAATGCAGCGGTCACATGATTTTTGTGGTAGATGCCAATCTTGAGTCAAATCTGTTTTGTCCTTGCTTCCTGGACAATATTATTGTTGACAGGATTCTAAAAATCAGACCAGTTTGATATTTGTCACTGATTCATTTATTGGTTTGACAGCACTCACGACCAGACAAAACCCATCATTATCCTATCCTTCTCACTTCAACTGCATGATCATCATATGATATGATTGACAAAGCGGAACACAACCAAATTGAGATTTTTTGTCCCCTTGTGTGCCAGCTGACAGTATTTGAAACTCTTGACAAGACTTGTCTGTGACAAAAATCACCAAACAAAACAGTTCATGTGCCTGCAGCAGTAAGAAACCAGTTGAATTTTTTAATGTGTATCTGCCTCAGGAAACCTGTTGAATTAAGTATTATCAATGCTTGGGGAAAATAAAAATTGTCCCTTAGATAGTTTAACAGTGATCAAAAATAGCCCAGTCAGTGATTTAACTGTCATATGTATATATACTTATTTTGTGAGAAATGATGTCACACCCAGTATTTTGAGAAAGTTATCTGGTTTCTTTGGGGGCGTCAAAAATTGCTTGGTTTTCTATTAAGTTACGTTTAGCATTACCTTCCATTTGATATTCCAACATTTTTATTAATTACTTTTATTGGTATTTGAGAGTGCAATATTGTGCTTGTTTTGTCTTCTTCTTTTTTTTTCGTGATTGTGATTTATTTGATGGAATGTTTTTGATTTAGTTTTTAGTATGTGTGTGTTTTGTATATTTTATTTCATGACAAAGGAGAGTGGATTTGTATTTATGTTTTTAATTTGTTTAAACTTAAGAGTATGAATGATATTGAGATGTCTGGAAATGTAACGTTTCAATTTTTTGATGGGTGCAACGACAGTTAATTTACTTCAGACACCTTTATTCTCTTATATCTTTCACTCCCTGTAATCATGTCATATTCAAACTACCTGATTGAATCCATTACTCCACATACTGACTTCTTACAGCCAACTTCATCATTACACTGGCAATTCAGTCATGAATTATGTCCCCCTTTTCTTTTCGATATGGAATGATTTTAATTATTTAATGAGGCAAATAAGGTGAAATTAACTTATTGTGTTTAGTATTTTATTTTCTTGTGCATTTATTTAACATCATGTTTATCAGGGGCTTGCAACTGAAAGGGATTCACTGAAAAATCCTTCAACATCAAAACAATCTAGCCCTTAAATTCCTTTTATTTTACATTTTATATACATTGTTAATAAACTATTCATAATTATCTAGTTCTTACATATATTTCATAAATATATTAAATTGAATAACCATTTTGAAGGGTTTCTACTGAGAGACAGCTAACTGAAAAGTGATGATCATAGCTGGGTTATCATTAGCAAGTAAGAAATAAGGTTAAATAATATAACATGATTGTCATTATCCAGCTAATAAAGTTGTGATAGAAGTATCAATTTTCATTAAAGATAGGCATTGTCGTTTGTGTCTGTAAAATATCAAATAGTAACTCTGATGCACATACTTTGAGATTGGTTCTGACTAGTTGTAAAAAACACATTTTATACTGTAAATTATACTTTGTCAAATACTGATATCTCTTAAACAAGACCAATTTATTTTCTTGGCAGGGGGTAAAAAAGACCCAAATTTTGTAAAGGACAGGAGTGAAAAAATTACGAAAGCTAGGATTGACCTGGAATTTTCCACATTCTTGGTATTGATTTGATAAAAAATAATTTTTTCTTCCAGTGCAGCCAATGGGGATTTTTTTCTTCTCTGATTTAAGGTAAAAAGATTGGTAAAACAAGAAAAAAAAATTGGTCCAGCCTTATATTGAAAAGTCAACATTTATTTCCAAACCTATCTGTACAGGATTTTATATTCAAAATAAATATCAGTATCATGAGATAAGCTCTTATCCATTCCATATAAAATCATCACAAAATATAGAGGCCATTCACCTCTCATTAATTCAAACATGAAAGTATATGATGGCAATATCATATTTAGAAGATAAATATAGCACTTTTGTCAAGAAAATATTTCATAGAACACAACAGATTGCGTTGTACTATCAAGATCTACGGTTAAATATCAGAGACATTATGTTTTAATAATAATCATGTTGATCTAGATGAGAGTACACTTTTCGTAACTTTTCTTTCTTATTTTTATTATGATGATGTCTCCATGGTTTTTCTCCGATTGTATTCAATGATTGCTGACTACTGTATGGGGTAGATAGATCAGGACGTCCAGCTACACGAATACATTTCACTCCTTTAACATGGGAGGCTGCATACATCTACAAAATAGATATCTTCATTTAATTAATTTCATTAATAACACATGAAATTCAAACTTAACATGACATTTTTGATGATCAACAATTTATTGGTTTACCTTATGACTTCTGATGTAACAATATATAAAGTGTCCATACCTTTGAGAAAAACTCTTTATCTAACGAACTAGACTTGGTCTGAAAAGAGAAATAAAAATATCATAATATCATAACATGGACTGACATGATGACCCACAATAGGAGTCAAACTTGTATATAGACCTACTTCACACGTTTCTTGCTAAAAACTTTTCTTTATAAATATCTATTAAGATGTGTATCATAAATCCTATATAAAGAACTAGATATGGATAATTACCTGTGTTTTACTAGTAGAAGTATCTGGTTTAACTTGTGGTTCTGGAATAGGTATTTTAACTTGATATTTTGTAATCGTTTGTACTTCTTGAAAATCACTTGATTCAATACCAGGTGGTGGATGACAATATAAAATCTTTCCCTGAACAAATATAAATAATAATTAGTACTATTTTTAATCATTACAGTATGTTTCTTAAAGGGATACTACGTCTTAGAATAAACATAAATTTAAAAAATTTAAACCTGGCCAATAAGAGCATATATTCATCAGTAGATATACCTGGTGTCATAAATAACATAACAGGATCCTTACATAATCCGATAAATCCAAAAAACTTAATAAAAATGCAATTAACTTTTCAAAAATGCTTAATATTATGATTAAGCGTTTTTCAATAATCACTTAGTTTTATGAATTTTCCAATTTTCTAGATTCTGTTGAAACTTTATGACACCAGGTAAGTTCACTGATGAATATATACTCATATTGACCATTCTTGAGAACTACATTTTATGTTTATTCTAAGATGTAGTATCACTAGGTTTTAACTTGTTTTATTACCATTATTTTGAGATAAAGCTGAATACAAGTTTACTTCACAACCTTAAAAACCACACATTGCATTTTTTTCAGCTGTATAAATATTTCCCTTCTTAAAACCTATACCAATCTATGTAAATTCTTTATAGCAGAAGCTAAGCAAGACCATTTCCATAATTTCAAAGAACAAAATGCTATAAACACTTACGTTAATATAATCCTTGATAATATACCTTGCTGATCTAGGACCATCTGGTGCACCCCGTGATGTCATATAACCTCTCATAGCTGAAATAATTATATATACTGTGATACATACATCAAAAAATCAATATCTATATTGTCATGAAAGATTTCTTGCTCTAGGATTTTAAATCATAAACAAAGAATCATGCCAAATGATGACATTAGACAAATACAGCCCGAACCATAAGGAGTTGATAGAATAGCCGTTCAAATTAGCAGACTTTGTTCTATTTTACACCAAAAAAAAAAAAAATCGATATCATTACCTCCATAAGCATTAAGCAGTTCATAAGCATTTGGTTTTCTGTTTGGATCTTCCCCTTCTCCTGGTTTCCGTATATTGATACCATATACTATCTCTAATACATGTCGTGGTATCCTTTCACAGATGTTCAATCAGTTAAGAAATATAAGATGTCACTTATGTTTCAGAAAAATATGTACATTAATATATTTCAATATATAAAAATTATAAAAGTCAACACAAAAGTTGTTTCATTATTTGGATATGTAGTGTGTTGTATTAAAGGATATCAGATTAATAGGTGGTAGATGATCTCTCATTTGATCAACTGGTAATATACCATTAATAACTAACTCAGCTTTGGTTGATACAAATGATGGGAACACTAATCCTGGACAATCACATAACATTAAATCAGGTTCCACATACAATGTCTGAAATATATAGAGAATAACATAACATTAAATCAGGTTCCACATACAATGTCTGAAATAATATAAAGAATAACATAACAATGTCTGAAATATATAGAGAATAACATAACTTTAAATCAGGTTCCACATACAATGTCTAATATATATAGAGAAAAACATAACTTTAAATCAGGTTCCACATACAATGTCTGATATATAATCATAGCATTTTTAAAAATAGCCAACGACACAGATTACAAAGTTTATATTAGGTGTTTTGTTCTCTTTATATGTCAGAACTGCTAAGAAAGTATGTATATTCTGCTCTTTTTTTTTATATGCTTTAGGTATTAAAATATCTATCATACCTGAAAATGTTTGGTTCTACCAGGTGTTGCTGATACAGGCACTTTTTTAGTTTTTAATATAGCATTTATTGTAGAACTTTTACCTACATTGGGATAACCAACCTAAAATATAAATACATAAAGATATAATCACACATCCTTTCAGGTGAAGAACATTTTTACTTAAACTGACTACAGTTTTGACAAGATTCAGCTTTGACGAACGAGAGGAAACTGTCTCATTCAAAGCTGTCCATAAAGCTATCAATTAAATTGAGCAAATACACAACTCACTACAGCTTGCCTTTTTATTGGCATATAAAACTACTTACCATACCAACAGTGAGAACATGATCAGTATGATAGGGTCCTGTATGTAGTGACTTCAATAATTCTAACAACTCTTCTCCACATAATATATTAGATGAATTATTCACAACTTTATCTGAGGATGTAGCACTGTTTTCTGTCTTGGTATCTCCAATTCCTTTTGACTGATTTGAAAAGTCTGATTTTTCATTTATCCACTGTGAACTGTCTGTTTTATCACTTGATTGACTTGCAATTGATTTAATCGTCAGATTTGTATCAGTGTCACATGAAGAAGGTTCATTTAACTCATGTTTGTGATCCAGTGTTAAATTTTGTATCGACTCTGTAGTAAATGAGTCTTCCTCTCCCTCACTGTCACTTATATCTAAATCTAATTCATCATCTTTAATATTTTCTTTTTCTTTCTCTTGCTGTGCTTCCTGTAAAATATTACAGTTCAATAATATAACACATGATTTTCAATGAGTCAATACATCCATGTGACATGATGGGTTTCTTGTTCTTGTAAGCTTTAAAATACTAACTGCTAGTCTTTACCTCTGTTTGTCTAGTAGTTTCCTCTAAAGCTGACCAAAAAGCTATCTTTACACCATGTTTAGAAAAATACTCTGACCATCTTTCTCTGAAACAAATGGTAGTTGAACAGTATGTAAACTTTAAATTTTACTAAAATCAATAGTAAATTTAGCTTTATCAACCAATCGAATTACAGTTTTTCTTAAGTCTGGATTACATCTTTGTTAGAATTTGTGAAACAAGTCCAATTTAGCTGTAATGCAGTTTGAGAAAAGCAGAAAAATAATTTGACCATAAAATTTCTCATAACTTTCAGAAAATATGCACCAAAGTAGCCCTAATTATTCTATATGTCTTACCTTTGTTTACTAGTTAAATAATCTGCTTTATTTATCAACAATAAGTTAACCTTTGACTTATTGACCTCTTTAACATATTTATCCAGGTCACTACATCGGAAGAGCAATGGATTTCTACCGTCAACAATCTGGACTATAATATCACTGTCGAAAAAAGAAATTAATGTTATTATAAATTGTCCTTTTCAATAAACCCCTTTACAAAATCACTACTACCACCACTTACATAGGCTACTGCCAAAATTCATTTTTTTTGTTTATCAGCATAGAAATTGAGGCCTGCTTTTCTCAAAGTTTGGAATATTTTTAGCATTATATATTGTACAATACTTTGGAATAGACAAAAGTTTGAGGTATTTTACCTTCTTTCAATTACTCTCCACAACTGACGCCAAAAATCTAAATTCTTTTCAAACGGTGTCATAATTATATGTTCTTCTTCTTGTAATCTACAAATTATAAACACTACCAAAAAGGAATACAAAACTCAAACACAAAATCTTCCATTTTGTATTGTATACAAAGGTAAAAGGGATGAAAAAAGGTGGAGCAATTTAGAAAATGATAATCAATATGCATATCAAGCTTCATTACAAATGGTTGTTGACAATAGATTTTAGAGGGTTTATAACAGATGGACAAAATCCTCCTAGAGGTATTTTTCTTACTTGGCTAGAAGTTTTCTCCATTGCAAAAATGATTCCTTTTCTAACATTTCTAGTTCTTCTCCTGTTGTTTTTTCTGTCCATGCTGGTCTGTAACAATCAATAAATTCTTTTCATTTCATAAACAAAAATTTGGCAATATACTTGAAGTGTTGACTCAATAACAGAAGAAAGTAAGTTTCATTTCAAATACAAACTATTTTGCTATACTTTGCTCATCAAATGTTAAGTATACATTTCAAATATATGATCTGCATTCATTTGCAATCCAGCACTATGCTGCATGTCAGCACAAAAAATATCATTTGATTATCTGATATCCGACTTATTCTCTTATGATTGATATACTTCCTCATGTGAAAAGTTCATTAGCTGCTGCCAATGTTTCGTCAAAATGTTGTTTTGCAGTTAGGTACGTTAATACTTGGTTTATTAATAAATCATATTTGCCATTAAAAATTAAAGCCTTAAAAGTCAGGAAAAGCTAAAAGCCATACCTTCGTGGAATGCTTAAAAGATTTCTATGTTTCTGTTGAGCTTCATGGACTTTTTCTTTCTCTTCTGATGATAATAAACCAATATTACCAGCAGGGTCTACAAACTTCACATTTAATTTTTCAGCAGTGAACTCAGTACCAGCTAATTCGGCTGTAGACAGAAAATCTTCTAAATTACTCTGTTCTGTCACTGACTGAAGATTTAGTCGACCCCAGTCATAACCATCATTTAATTCTGTTGTATGCAACTGAAAAACAAAACCAACCCATTTATTTTTTGTAAAATGACAAAATCATTTCAGTTTATAAATGCAGTGATCTGATTCCTTACTCTATACATTGCAAATTCCAAAAATGATAGTTTCCATTTTCTTCCATATTTTACCACGGAAATGGTTAGTGGTCACTCTCCAAGGCAAATATCTGTTGTTATATCAGATTCTCTGGATAGATAGGGTTATACAGAAGCATATCTAGAAATGAGAAGCCTCTCTCCGCGTCAGTTAGCTGTGAGAAAATTCATGTCTCAAAGACACCATCCATGGCATGGCCGAGGATATTTGTCACCTTGTTGGCAAACAATTATTCGCCACCCTTATTTATTACATTTCACCCATTTTCAAACTGTAATTCCTCCGTAGACTGGCATTATTAGCTGTAAAGGAGAACAAACTATGAAAATAACTCCTACTTAAAATTGATTATCACCTTGCCATTGGATAGTTATTTATTGTCAACCGGTGCTATGTCAATTGGCCGCCATACTTTTTCGGAACTATGAAATTTAGTCTTGATATATGTGTGGCCTACAAACCCAACATGACTCTGCATTAGATATAAGGGCATTTTGTCAGTACTGCATAACTTCCAATCTTAAGTGTATTATTGTATATTATGACTAAGAATAAATTAAGTTCAGAAAATTTCGAGAATAAGCTGCTATAATTCTAAGAATGCTAATAGAACATAATGTTACAAGAGGTTACAAGTGAACATGACAGAGGCTGGGGTTCTCATCTCTTGTATATCGATAATACTTTTAATAAGCACGAAATTAAAAACATTTTTCTAGTTACCCCACATTTCTTGTTTACCACCCGAAGTTCTTGGTTCTTGTTTACCACCCTAGCTCTTGTTTACAACACCAAGCTCTTGTTTATCACCCACAGTTCTAGTTCACTATCCCCAGATTTCAAATTAGTAAAAGAGTCGGCTAATTTCCCACTGACAAAACAATTTATCAATAGGGGTGCTAATTCATGAATTTATAGAGCTGATTCTGTGACATAAGAGTAGCAATAACATAACTCATTAGAAATTCAATAATGCACTTTTTTCCTGATTTATTTTTATGTTTTGATAACAGCATATTATGCAGACTGAAAGGAATTCACACAACAGGGAGGATTGACAGAGACAATCTTCAATAAATAGACACTTACATAATTTTGTTTTCCACCAGTACCACCACTTTTGTTCTTCCCACGAAATCTGTCTTTGATAATAGTTCTACCAAGCATCGGCTGCCCAGATTTCTTGCTATTCTTCCCCATGTTTATGTTATTATCAAAAATAAGCAATTTAAGCAAATTAATATAGTTTATTACTCAATTATTCGAAAACAACTCTTCTTGTGTAACACCTCATGGGCGCTGACATGTTTAAGTATCGGGTCACGAGTATCGTTAAACGCGATTGGTTGAAATATGCATCAAAGTCTTTTCACAGCCGATAACCATCAAAGACCCAAAGACAGATTAATGAAGTGAAGTTTTTTACTTTTCTGCTCAAGTCTATTTCTAATGCGAAACTTTCTAGCCCACCAGTCAGTAGACTACCCCGAATTGGTGTTAATTTTTCAAAGGAACAAGGCAAATTTCTGCGTTATCGAATTATCACAGATAATTAGAGAGTTTCGGATTAACTTTACCTGACTAACCCACTGATCTATAAATTTATAAGCTACAGATCAGTGTTGCCTTTAATATTATATCACTCGCCTTGCCACTGTGAAATGAATCTGCCAAGTCGACCTGGTTCAATGGACTTAATAAGGCGTAGAACAACTTCGTACGTTCATTTTTCTCTACAAAGCCTTGAAATTGAAAATGCATGGATTATTTGTTTAGTTTCATATTGCTCATAGTCATTGTGGATAATATTTTCAATGTTTGCATAATACTTATTCGCTCAAACAAAGTAAGTAGGTTAGCACCCCAAGGTTAAGATAAGTTGTCAGTCTGAGTACAATACTGTAGTAGTGAGGAATTACACTAAAACTATTAAAATAACTTGAAACTGTACAACATGAGTGTACCTGATGTTCTTACAGCGACTATATTAAGTACAATAACTTCGTTTGTTATATTTCAATATGTGCACCATAATGGTGAGATTACAAAAAGCTTTAGCAGTGAATACAAGCTACATGGATTGACTCTTAACGGGTCGAGGCTGAGGATAGGCCCAAATGAAAAGGATCAGCTGTATGGGCATATCAGACATTCTGCTTTCATCAAGGACGTGAAAACAAAGGGTCATGACTTGGAGGTAGCGTATGATGACTCCAGGCTTGGAATCCATTCCTACTCATCAGAGCAAGCGTCATGTTATGACATAGAATGGAGCTCAGAAACCTTAGATCTATCTGAACTACAGCACTGTTATGATCTTGGTAAAGCACATTGGTATGGTGGTTTTCAACATGTTTGGCAACCGTGGCCGTTGGAGAAGATTGTAATGTCCGAGACTCCATTTGTTTCCACAGATTTATTTTTTCATGATAAATCTATTGGAGGTGTACATGAAAGATTGTTCTTTAACTCGGCAGGATTTGGTCTCTATATACCGGATGAAATTCCTCTTTTTTAAGCATCAACAGCTCCGGCGATGGAAGGATGTGCTTTTCCAGTAAAAATGTGGGTTATCCGTATTTAAACACACAAAGACTTCCAAGGTTGTCTTATACTATATGTCAAGCTGGGAATGTAAGGACAATAAGATCGTACCTGCTGAATACCTATTACACAAAACCAGAAAACATTCCAGACGAAACGCTATTCTATAAACCAATTTGGTGTACTTGGGCTCAGTATAATAAAGATATTAATGATACGACAACTGTAGAATATGCTAATACTGTGATCAGGTATGGATTTACTAATTCTCAGATAGAAATCGATGACGATTGGACGCCATTTTATGGAGATCTAGAGTTTAATAAGAAGTTTCCCGATCCGTTAAAGACGATCAATAAATTGAACAAGCTAGATTTTAGAGTTACACTCTGGGTACACCCATTCATGGAATTAAACTCCAGCTCTTTCCCTGAAGCTGCAAGTCGTGGATTTCTGATCAAGAGTAAAGGTGACACAGTGCCAGCTCTTGTCCGATGGTGGGATGGAGATATGGCTGGAATTCTAGACGTTACTAATCCAATGGCTGTCGATTGGTTTTTGCACAAGCTACGCAATTTGCAGAGAAAGTATGGCGTTAGCTCATTCAAATTTGATGCTGGTGAATCTTTTTACTTACCTAAGAATTATGTCACCAAAAGTAAACTTCGGTCTCCCGAACAATTTGCAACTTTATGGGCGACATTAGCGTACAGAGCTGACATCAACATACGACATCAGGAGGTCCGCATAGCATATCGAACCCAACATCTTCCTATATTTGTAAGAATGTTTGACAGATCCTCATCATGGGATGACAAGGCAGGGATACAGACTCTTATACCTACAATCTTGACTTTTGGATTGCTGGGTTACCCCTTCGTTTTAGCTGATATGGTTGGTGGAAATGCATATGGCGATCTGGTAACATTTAAAGGTGGAGCTTATCCAGATAGAGAACTATTCATCAGGTGGATGGAAATAAATACCTTCTTTCCCACCATACAATATTCTATAGCACCGTGGATCTACGATACTGAAGTGATAGAGCTTTGCAGGAAATACACTGATTTACATGCTAAATATGCTCCTATGATGGTAAGTTTAGCAAAGGAATCAATGACAACAGGGGACCCAATAATTCGTCCGATTTGGTGGAGTTCTCCAAAGGATGAGACTGCGTTAACTGTGGATAACGAATTCTTAGTAGGAAACTCAATTCTTGTTGCTCCTGTTATAAAAAAAGGTCAGACATCTCGGGACATTTACCTACCATCTGGTGTATGGCAAGATGAGTTAAAAGGTGGGAGACACCAAGGACCGAAATGGTTGCTGAATTATAAAGTAGAATTAAGAGAACTACCATACTTTAATGCCTTATAGTATTTTTCTATTGTAATGTATATCTTTTGATTGTGTTTCCTTTAAAATCAGAGGACTATCTATGTTTTAATAAGTTTGTTTATAAATTCCATTAAAAGGTATTAACTTTTAGATGTTTGCTTAAGTGTTGTCCAGTTTGACTTTGCAGATCACCCAACCTTAGGGTCTAATCAAAAAATTCATATAAAAACAAAAACAAATACAAAAAAAACTTAAATAATTACATTCGGAAGTGACGATACTTGGATTTTCATTTTACATGCCGACTATTGGAAGGTTTAATTTCACTGAGAACACTTATAAGATTTCAAAATCGTGTCTTATTATGCTATCGTGTCTATCTAACTACCACATTGTAACTACTTTTAGATAAGCAATTCTCGACATTCATTCACATAAGACAATGTATATTGTGATATTTGTGATCAGTATTTTCGGTCCGTTCTATACATTTTTAACATAAATTGTTTAAAAACACAAAATCCATGGCAGATTCCTAAGCTAGAGTCAATGGTTGCTATCCTGCTACTTAGACATGCCATCAAATGGGACACGATAATTCGTATGGGATTTATAATAAGTTTAAAGTTAGTTAATATATTTCCTTTGCTGTGAGATAAATCATTGCATACATTTAATATTTCAAGATCAATGTGATCTGAGTGGTTCATCAACCATACTTAAAAAGTAATGGAATGACTTTTTCGAAATTTTCATTTGACTTTATCTTGAAGAATTTGCGAGGCCTTTATATTAAAGCAGGTGCACCATTGTATGAACTAAGTGCATGATATATTCTAGTCGTTTATTATAAACCAAATCAAAAATAACAACAATTACTAAAATGTGCTCTTCTATCACATGTTCCTCTAGTTATGTGGTATTCTGCAACTTTGTTAGATATTTATAGCAACCAAAATTACATAACAAAGAATATAAATGCATTTTGCAAAAAAATTCGGAAATCATGAATCCAAAACTGCTACAATATTCAGAGCAGTATTTATAGACATACTGGCTCGTGTTTCACTTGTGTTTGTACCAAGATGTGGTAAAATTATACAATTGTCCAAAGTAAGCAGTGGGTGATCTTTTGGCAAAGGTTCTGGGTTAGTAACGTCTAAGCCAGCTGAATGGATTACCCCGTTCTTTAAAGATTCATATAAAGCTTCTTGATCAATAACAGCAGCACGAGATGTGTTTATCAACACTGCATTAGATTTCATTTTGTGAAATGCTGCCTTGTCGATCAGATTTTCTGTTTGAGGAGTGAGCGCACAACAAATACAAACAATATCTGATTCTGTTAAAAGTTGATCAAGTGAACAAAATTCAGCATCGATGTCTGCTGCAAAGGATGATGGTGCTACGTCATTATAAAGAATTCTTGATACACCAAATGGTTTCATTCGTCGAGCAACACCAAATCCAACTCGGCCCATACCTATAATACCGATTGTTCGATTAACCGATTCAGTACCAAGTATCCACATGGGCTTCCATTTTCCCCATTCACCTTTCTCAACGGCTTCAATTCCTAAAATTTGAAGAAGAAAAAATGCCCAATCGATGTTCTTCAGGCCATTGTAGTTATTTTTAAATTGGTTAAATATCATTGTCTAAAATATATAATAACATATGAGGGCCATAATGTAACAACCTAAAAGATATAATGTTCATTCATGGTGGTTTCTAATTTGTGCTACTAGTACCTGTCACAAACACTTACCTTCCAAACACCTTCTGGTAGTCAACAAGAGTAAAGCCACAGTTAATTCAGCAGCACTATCAGAGGCCACATCTGGTGTATTGGTTACTTGAATTCCTCTTTTTTTACAATCTTTAACATTAATATGATGCGTACCCACCGACATAGTGGCAACTACTTTCAAATTCTCCCCTACAATGCATTAGATCAAAATTAGTACCGTACCTAGGCATATGAAGTATCAAATAACGTTCAAGTCTGTATTAGGGTGTATTGATACGAGTCTCAATGAAAGCACTGGCCAAGGTTACACACCAATAGATAACCATGTCTTTATCAGGTAATTATATTGTTTCCATGTTTTATTAAGAAAACGGTACTGGTCTATTTGTTTCAGATATTTATATTTATTTCGGTTAGGATACTAACTAATACAGTCAATTACCTGCAGCATCCAGTATTTCCGAATCAATTTGATCAGCAATGGTACAAAATAATGCCGATATTCCCTTGACGTGTTTCTTTAACTCATCATGAGGAATGACGTCATCACTGTTCCAGACTTCTACTTCATACTTCTCTCTGAGTATATTTAAGCCCTCTTCGTGTACAATTCGAGTAACATAAACCTTAGGCTTCATGGTGCAATCTCTCTAAAAAGACAATTAGGCTACATTAGACTAATTAAGGTTAAATATACGCGTATAAAAGCAGTTGCGGAGGCAGGGAAGCAGGTGCAGGAAGGGGAGAAATATCTGCCGTTTTCTAACTAGTCATTATACCTAATGGCTCCGCCACGTGTAGCATTATATAAAACCAGAAAACTATAAGGCAATGGTAGCCCAAGAAATTATCCACATCAAGATTGTCAAGAAGATATTGATATACTGCTGTGTATAAATCAGCATTAGGCCAAATGCATAATAATATTATAATGAGTTTCAAAGTCAAACAAATGATTGAGATAAATAGGCTAACCCAAGGTTCAAAACACCCCCTTTCTTTCTATAACTATAAGCCGAGGTAGACTAGCGCCAGCGGCTATCGTATTGGGAGTGTCAAAGAGAGATAGAAGACCCCCAAGTCCAGACAGTGTACCGGTACGCAGATTTTTACAGAAGCAAAGTGAATCTTCCCATGCCTTAAGTTCCCTTCAACCTAAACTACATCACATGACTGTTTCTTGTAATAGGCGGCCTCAGTTGCTTGTTTTGTGGTGCATGAATAATAGGCCTCATTCTCTTGCAGACGACATGTCAACGTCGGCAACAAGACCGACAAAAAGAAATTCAATCAAATATTGTAAAGTCTACCCAATGATAAACAAATTACACAACGGTACTAATATAAGAAGTATATATCTTACAATATGGCGATACCTTGAATTCAAATAGTTCCGGTGTCTAGGTCAGTAATTCTCTCTGAATTCAAGATAATGACTTTCGAACCAATCACCTTGACCTTCGTTAGGTCACATTCAATCATTGAATGACCTTAGACGGTTGTAATGTTTTTACTTTTATTTGCTAATCCACGGTACTGGGCAGAAGAGGCACGTTTACCCAATAGCCAATGATTACCAGTATTGTGGTACTAGGGTTTATCATTTTAATGTCTTTATTTAGGTTAATGTTTAAAAGAAAATATTGAAAAAAAGAATGCTGAAAGTGACAGATATAAGGCTACTCATTTTAATTTAATTATAGTTGGCATGAAAAAAGAAATGTTAAGGGAAATAACTCTTTGAAGCATACTGAACGAGAGATATTAAATAGCAGTTTTGGTCTGTAAATCAACATGCGTAATCTAGTTAACATACACGATATATATCTATATAATATAAAAAATACAACTATTTATGGAAGGAAGCATCCCTGAGAAACTAAAAGATCATCCGAAAATTAAGCCTTTGTTGTTTTTTGGTTAATAGCACTGCTCACTATAGTAGCCTACTATACAGAATTTGGGAAAATATTAGACATGGTCCAGAGGAACGTTACTTAGACCTACTATCTGCATGCATTAGCCAAGGCTCTCATAAGCAATTGGAATCCAGTATATATAACAACAACAAAAGGCTTTAAGCTCTTGAATCGACATGCCATTTAACGCCTCTAATTTCGGCGAAATCTTTCTCACCGGTTATCAAACGCGGAAACAGATTAAATCTTATTTATCGGGATATTTGATAAAGTAAACAGGTCATTCAAGGGTCACTTTTTCACATAAATCTGGCTTGTGGGAAGATTATTGTTATGGTTCGTTGACTAAAGATGAATCTAAAACGGTTGAGTACAATTCAATAGAATGATATAATTGATTTTAGGTAGGAGGCCAGTGAGAGTGTTCACTAGCACTGTGTATAGTTTAGTATTAGGTATATACACTGACAAGATAGCCCTATATACTCTACAGTATTGATCGAGACCTCTTTACCGACTTGTTATGAATTGATGCTTTACACAACAAACAGCTGTGTACTTGTAGGGAAAAAAGTAAGTCAGAGTTTATTTCCAATATTTTCTACATTAATCATTAATATGTTGTGTCTTCTGATGTTTTAACAGCTTAATGACAATATCAATAAAGTCATTATTCAGTTATAGGTATCTTAGTTGCTACAGGCTACCATACTTTTATTACATTTATACGAGTAAGATATACTGGAAAATAATAGTATTTCATTTGATACATTTTCTCGACTGAACTCGTTTAGTACTTGCTGTCGAATGCTAGTGTTTAACTTAATGAACCTGACCCACTCGTACTCTTGTATATGAACATGATCGGTTTTCAATACTTAATGAAATTCCAGCAACCGTAACTATATTTGTACACTTAACATAAATATGAAAGGTGACGTCCTAGATAAAAAAAAAACGTTCCAACTTAGATTTGCTGTATAGGCTGTAATAGGTTCCCCCGAAATTTTCAAGGTATGGTAAGGTATTGACATTACGACGCAGTAACAGTCGAATTGAATTGTGATGATTATCAGCCTTGGATATCAGAAGTTTAGTCAATTGTACTGATTGATTTATTCTCTCTTTGAAACATAAATTCCTTTAGTACGATATCCTTATTTCCTTGTTAAGTACCTTGTTATAATAATCAACTTTTAGCATTGAAGATGCAGAATGATATTTATTTTTGCTAACGGCCTATATGAATGTACTTTTATTTCATGTTATTGAACCCCTTATGCCGACGTCGCTGCAAAATCTACTAATCTAATTGATTGATTGTCCATTGCCCACACTGGTCTACATACAGAATACTTTGCAACATGCTTTTAATTACCACATAAAATGTCACGTAACGTTGGGTTATATCTATAACATTATAGTTATTTAGTGTAGGTATTTTGGCATTAAAAAAAGATTCGTATATTTTTCTTCTTTAAAGTAAAAAACTCACTTGATTTTGAAAAAGGTAGGCCCCATCACTAGCCTAAATAAATAGGTTGGCATTTTTTTTTTTGCCATAAAATAACTATTGTGACCAGTTCCCTTCCTTGAACCGTTAAAATTGGATAAAAATATTTTCATCAGTTACTTCCCTTGAACTTTTGGAATTGGTTTTGTTTTACCTCCCTGTTTGTATGTTGTGTTGCCTATTTATGTTGAGCAGCAATTAATGACGAGGTCGTTCACAGCGGAAATGATTATTATGAAATTGAGGTTCACCCATATTTACCAATCGAGCAAATAAATCACTTGGATCTACTTAAATGATATGAATGGAACTTTACGTCCTACTTTTTTGCATTTTTGCTGCACCAACGCCATACAGGGTGTAATGAAGGAAATTTTGCTAGAACAGCGGCATTAGTCTGCTTACAACTGTTTAGGGATCTTTAACGTGCACAGTCTAGCACACGGGACCTCGCTGTATTGTTCCATCCAAATTACTAGATGCTTTTACCATGTCAGACCCTTTGCCTGCATCACTGACAGGGGGAACCGGGTTGAAAAATCAGAAGGTATTATCTCGACCTATGCGGGGATCGATGGATCTGCTTTAAAACGGCATAAATTACCCTTTTACAGGACGCCAGGAATCTGACATGTTTCTGATCAGCCTGTATGGTACATCAACGATCAGCCATCACCGTGTCATGCACCCGGGGAATGGTTTCACGAATGTTTGCCGTGGACATCTTCCTCTCACAACGATTAAAGATGAGTGCGTTCATTTTGGAGTTTAGCATGTAGATCATACATAACTTAATTTTGACGATTCCATTAGATTCCTTGTCTCAGAAAATATATACAGACACTTTATTTGTAATTGTATGGCACGTAACAGCAAATATCTCAATGTTAGTGTTTTGCGGCCTTTTTGGATACCACGTTGGGTTAAATACTTTAAGAATAGTCATAAAAAATGCCACCCAATTTTTGTTCAAAGCTTGTGATACTTTCTTACAAACTCAAGTGATTTTTCGCTTTTAACAGAAAAAAGAAAAATGCACTTAAGTGGTATTCAAAATTTTTTCCAATAGGTATTTTGTTTACGAGACAGCCATGCGAAACGTCCATTTTATGATAATATTGAAATACATGTAATCAAATTGAAGAAGTGTTCGGTCTACTGAGTTTCCAAACTTGACTGACGTTAACGTTATGGACTAAATAAATTTAAATAAAATGGTTTGCACCCACACCTTATTTTTAACAAATTTAAAAATGACATATGCGTCGAAATGCCCCAAATTAATTCAATATTTGGAAAATTTAATTGGAACCCTCTGAGACGCTCCATGAGAGGCTTTCGAAAATAGCGCTTCCGCAGAGTTGCCGCATTTCAGCGTCTTTATAAAAGACAAAAAATTTACAAAAATATTTTCCTATGCTCAACACCCTTCGTGTTCTGTATGGCATTGATAAAAGATGCTACTATTTATTGCTTGGAATACTAATCTGGTGCTATCAGTGCGATCAAAGCCCTATATACATTATATAGGGCTTTGGTTGTGATGACCCGTTTGTATTATATAATATTTGCATTCATTGTACGTAGTGGATGCTTCGGCGTGTCTTTTACAACATTCTCAGGTCAAGGTTTCACAATATGTACTTTGCATGACATGGTATATTATTTCATCTGTTCAAGGACAACTATACCAAACATTCACATAACACATACTCTGTCGTGCATATAGTACTGCATATATATTACATATAGTATATTATTATGTCATACACTCATATCCTACTGTGGAAGCTTTTGAAGCGAAATGTACCAAACCTAATGTTTGGTGATAGTGTCGGTTCTCGTGGTGTATATCCTGTTCTGTAATGAGTCAAGTCGGTCGAGTTTGTGTAATTGATATATAATATTATGATAAAAGGACAATTTGACATATTCTCAAGTAGGACTTGATTAGTACACAATCTATATATCTACCCTCATCATTTAATTAGTGTTGTGGGCTTGCAATTTTGCATCTCTTGAAATTTCGGGATGAAGTTTTTCTCACATGCGACAGAATATATGCATTTTAATATTAGAAATACATTGCATAACAGTTTGCCATTACTACTCGCAATACTAAGAATGTTTAGTGTATACAGTAACGATATTTATATTTTTGTTCGCGAAATAGCTTCAAAATAATTATGAAATATATTAAGAGTTCAGTTATGCAGCTATAATATTATGTACCTGACATGCAAACTTTGTGTAACAAGTAGTTCTCGTTGCGTGAAAAGATCTTGATTTAAGTGACTATCTATCAGCTGTTAACCGCATTATGATGCAACAGTGTTGTTTCATTATTGTTTGGTTGTTAGTCACGTGATCTGTTGATATTTATTTATAGTAGAAGTCGAACAGTAAACCGGCATTATGGTGATGAAATAACCTACTTAACAGATTCATGTACAGGATTATATTGGATTACAGAACGTTACGGTAGGGTTTGCTTTTTAGGCACATTTTAGCATGCTTTTGTGAATTGTCAAAACCAGAATTTGAAAAAGCATAATTCAGGTGTTTTGATTTTTGAGTATTTATCAATATTGATGTAGCAACTGATTGATTATATGATTAGCTGTCAAACTATAGAACACAGCAGTTAAATTATAAATTTATTAAATTGGACTGACGTGTTATTATTTTTGTTGTAAAATCAAGATCTATGTTATTGAAATAAATCTATGAATAGAAGTAATGAGATTGACCTACATCTGTTTATCAGCTGATAAATAATTAAACCGATTCCTACATGGATCCTGCTAAGACAAAAAAAACATGACAAAACACGAATATTTCTTGAGGAGCATAAAAGTACAAATATCAAGAACCATCCCAGTCTTTATGTTGAGAGCCTCTGACTGACACTTTTTTTTTGTGTGAAGTTGTGAGTTTTGACCACCATTGGTTGTGAGTGTTGACCACCATTGGTTGTGAGTTTTCTCTTCCATTGGTTGGTAGTTTTGTACACCATTGTTTGTGAGTTTATACCACCGTTAGTTGTGAGTTTTTACCACAGTTAGTTGGTTAGTTGTGAGTTTTGTCCACCATTGGTTGTGAGTTTTGACCATCATTGGTTGTGAGTTTGACCACCATTGGTTGTGAGTTTTGTCCGCCATTGGCTGTGAGTTTTGTCCGCCATTGGTTGTTAGTTTTGACCACCATTGGTTGTGAGTTTTGTCCGCCATTGGCTGTGAGTTTTGTCCGCCATTGGTTGTTAGTTTTGACCACCATTGGTTGTGAGTTTTGTCCGCCATTGGCTGTGAGTTTTGTCCGCCATTGGTTGTTAGTTTTGACCACCATTGGTTATGAGTTTTGACCACCGTTAGTTGTGAGTTTTGACCACCATTGGTTGTACGTTTTGACCATTAGTTGTGAGTTTTGACCACCATTGGTTGTAAAACTAAAATTGATTCTGAATATTGTCCAAAATAGGTAAAGTTTTAACTAAAATTCGTTGTGAGTTGTTATAGACAATGTTGATTTTAAAAACCGTCACAGTTAATTTAAACAACATTGATCGTTGATCGTTGAAACAACATTTATAACTAAAACACAAGACAATATTATGGAATAAAACACACTTCTTTAATAAGGTAGGGTACATAACATTTCAACACAATATACACGTGTCGTCATCAGATGTAATGGCAAGAGAATAAAACATAACAAAATATATACCAACAAGAAACAATATAGAGATTAAGAGGGGCAATAGATAAAAGGGTTTGTGAGTTTTGTTTGTGAATTGTTTTAAACATTATTTTTCAGTATATCAGTCAATTTCAAACTTAGAACAAATAAAATACATATAAATTTATTACGTTCTTTTATATACTTTACCTATGTTCTATAGTATATTAACTGTTAATATAGCTATACAAATATACAATTTATTTAAATAAAATATTATCATCGTTGACCTGTTTTTGAAAAAAATCTAACACTTTTAAATTTCCTTGTATTTAAAACTATTTAAACGTCTATAAAAGGTGTGTTTTGAGGGTGTGGTGGATGATGGATATGTTTTGTTTTTTGGGAGTTGACTGCAATAGCCATCTTTCTAGTATCACGGAATGCAGCGATTTGATTGGATTGTACGTTACGGAATACAGCCAATCAGAGCTCTCAACAGAAAGATTGTAAACTTGGCTACTTAGTGTTTACAATCTGATTGGCTGAGTTCGCTGGCGTACTAACCAGTCGGATCGCTTCATTTACAAACTGCGATACAAGAAAGGTGGTTATTGTAGTCAAGGTAACAGACTAAGTTAAGACTATTTATAAATCATTCAAGATCCAAATTAACCTTGAAAATGGCGAACATGGCTTTAATTTAGCTATAGTCACTATTTCAAAATATCACAAGAGATCAATTCATTGGCGAATATTATATCATTTATAGTTACTTGATTTAACTTGAACAACATAAATTGGGCAGTAATAAATCATAATAGTTATAACATAAGCAGCATTGATTGAGAGATATTTAGTCAGTGTGGTTTACATAATATTTTAACATGAACAACATTGACTGAGAGATATTTAATCAGAGTGGTTTACATCTTTGAACATGAACAGCAATGACTGAGGGATATTTAATCACAGTGATTTTCGATATTTTAACATGAACAACATTGACTGAGAGATATTTAATCAGAGTGGTTTACATCTTTGAACATGAACAGCAATGACTGAGGGATATTTAATCACAGTGATTTTCGATATTTTAACATGAACAACATTGACTGAGAGATATTTAGTCAGAGTGGTTTACATATTTTAAAATGAACAACATTGACTGAGAGATATTTGCCTGTATATGATAAATAAAACCTAATTAACAAAAATAGAATTAGTTTAAACCTTAAATACATATAATAAATTGTAATTAAAGATAAATATATTTTTTGAATGCACCAACCAACAATTAACTCAATATATTTATCTGTACCTTAATTGAAATCATATTTTCCATTCGAGCCACATACTATACCAAATCTTTATGACAAAACAGTCTATAAGTTTGTCACGAAGATATAAATTGTTGTATGTGACATTTTCATAACAGTTTTAAGTACTGTAGATATGTATAAGTATGGCGTCTAAAAGCTATTTTGAACTTCAGTATTCCAGTAAATAAAAATTCCTTTCTTCGATATTCCTTGAAAGAAAAGATGAGTAAATTTGATATATAATCCATTTCGTGTTTCATTTTTTTGCACAATAGATTTACCATGCAAGTAACTTTCAATTCCTCCTCAAGAAACCATGTAAAAGGATCAAAGACGATTTCCGACAAGTCTATGAATAATGATTACGCAATTTACTTCAGCAAGCTCATGTAAATCGTTAAAAGTAGGACGTAAAACTCCATTCATTTCATTTCATTTCATGTAAATCGCCTAAATAAGGGTCCAAAAACAGCTATAAAGAGAATTTCTACCCTTTATCAGATAGAATTAAAAGATAAAATTGGCCTAGAGTATAATTATGATTTTAAGTATATTTGAGAAGATTTTATGTGTTTTGTACGAAATTAAATTAAAAGTAAATGATATTCGGGCAAAAGAGAATTGTATTAGGCTTAAATAATGTGCATACGGGCCTTTAAATCAGGGTGGTTTACATATTATAATAGGACCGTTTGCAATCATATTATGTATCATGCTACCAAAGTTCTAAGCAGCAAATTGAACAGATTATCAAGCACAGTTTTAGATGAATCTGGCCCATCACCTGGTTTTCATCAGTTTAATAATCTAGATTTTTTTTAATGACTGAGTTCAATGTTTTTTTATATACATTTATACCCTCATTGTTAGTAGTACATGTTAGCGGTTTACCTGATAATATCAATAAACTTTAATAACGATTGTCTTGGCATATAAAATGGCCAGAACTCTTTTAGTTACTTTTTTTTCTTGACAAGATAGCAAATTATAAAGCTTAAAGACAAGTGAAGACACCAAACGTCGATTTATAGGTTAAAGTTGTCTTTAAAAATATTCATTTGTTCCAAGTAGTTTGCATGACATATATGAAGCACTTGTAATATAAACATTCAGAGCATTTTGTCAATGCTTTTTTGCAGAGATGTAACCGACTAACATCACAAATTAATTATTTTACCACACTGTTGTTTTCACCTCTAAAATAACCCAATATCACTGCCTTGTTTTTAAATCTTCTTTTCGGCAAATTACCAAAGGTAAAATTAGTAAACTAACAAACAAATTATTTAGTGCAGACAAGGTGCAGTTGAAAATGAGATCACCTATACAGGAGAATGTCAAGATGACATGGATTTAAAAAAGGACTTTTGACACTTATTGCAGTTTAACATTTTGAGGCTGAAACTTTCCTTCACCCCCGGCTCCTAGACAGATTTCAAGCACTCCCTTGATTAAGAGATTACACGTCTATTTCTCTGGCCTCTGGATCAGTTGCAGTCGAAATGAAACATAGATCGAAATCTTGCAACAGTGATGAAGTATAGATCATCTCTCAAGTAGATTATTAAATTTGATATGTATAATAGAAAGTTGAACATGTGCAACATTCATTTTTCATTTGTTAGTGCACACAGGTCGATCAAATTTTGTCAGTCACGTGGCTGACCTGAGCCCTCTTTGTATTATTAAGCGAAAGGGAGAACACTCAGTAAAGACATTGTTTTCAGACCCTGTAGATGAAAAGGAGTTATTAGCGACCAGAAAGTTTGCACTATTTTTATATTTGTATATGGTTGATTTTAAGCAATGAACGGGAGGATACACAGCGATGATTAAACTTATCAAAAAGATAAATAATTAACTAATTTATTATTTTTGTCATTTCAGAATGGTCAGAAATTGATGTAAAATTCCTTCGTCACACAACCGCAGCCTATCAAAATGAATGGTAACACTAGGAGACCCAGGGTGTATGTGACAAGACGTATTCCACAGAAGGGTGTTGATGTGCTACTAAGAGATTGTAATGTTTCTATGTGGGATTCAGAAAGTGCCGTGCCTCGAGGCGAACTTCTTTTGAATATTGCTGGTGTCGACGCCATTTTGTGTATGGCCCACGACGTCATTGACGCAGAAGTTATAGCTGCTGCAGGTACTTTTTATCTTGTTACTCTCCTCTTGATAGACTGTAACATTTATTATCATTTTTATTTATTTAAAGTGACGGATTTAAGGGATGCTGTCTTGAATTCTATACATGGGAGACTCTTGACCTATGAATATTTATTTAATTATATATATATATATGCTGTATGTTTTATTTTTGAGTACCATTTTATCAGAAATTGTCAAACCCTGTGTCTGATTGTCACTAGGAAATTTCTATTCGGAGCTGAAGGTTTAGGCCTACATCTGCTTTCTACATAGCATGGTCACTGATTCGTTTAAGCGGAAATTGATAATTTATGCAACTAATCATTGTTTTATTATCACAGTAATAATTATGAACTAGATATCTCCTATTACGGTAAATTAGATGTAGATTAAAGCGATGAAATTCATTCCTAAATTTTAAATTAATTTGAATAACATTTCAGCATTTAGCTGTCTATGGTTTATATGGGCTACAAGGAATCGTTCGGTATAAATAAAGTTGTAAATTAATTGTTAATTATGTTGTGAAGGGTAAACGGTAAAAAATAATCAATATCATCGCTTAAAAAGTATCACTTACTGGTGTCTTCCCATTAGTGTGCAAGTTACCTCAGACTTTAAGATGAAAAAGTCCAGATATAATTTTGTCTTTTATATAATATTATACTTGTACATGTATATATATATATTTACAATATTCAATGAAATTGAATACAATATGTATATATATGAAATAACTCACAATTTCAGCCTCCGCTCCTAAAAATTTAAACAAGTAAAAATATGTTATTTAATTATTTTTACGCTATAAAAAGTTGTAGCAACTCTAATATTGTTTTTTATTACCATACCATCTCTTGTAAAAAGGTCAGCTGTTAACAAAAAAAATTAATTTGCCACGTTTTTTGACCACATTTCAGAACAAGACTATTTTCAACGAAAGTCAAGTTGGTTGAAATTGCATTTATACTTTTGAATTTAACATTCAAAATTTATTCCTTTGAGATGCAATATGTGTATTTATGTACTGTTTGTAGTAGATCTGTTCATTTTGAACGCACTGTACTTAGGACTTTCGCTGCTATAATTGAATACCAGTACAAGAACGTCAAGACATGTTTGAAGCTACATGTTCTAAAAATACGCACTTATAACCATAACGTCTTAGTCTACGTACTAACTTGGTCGAGCATTTAATAGATCGAATCATTTTGATCAGAAAAAAAGCGCAATGAACATTTGTATATTTAATAGATGGGATGTAGGTAAGGCTGAGACAAACATGTCATATTATAGACGTTATTTTTTTTTCAGGACAGAATTTGAAGGTAATAGTCACTATGTCTAGCTCTATTGAAGATATAGATATGGAAACGTGTAAAAAGAGAGATATTCGTGTATTGGAATGCCCTAAAACTGGATCTGAGAGTGTAGCAGATTTAACAGTAGCATTGATATTGTTAACACTAAAGAAAGCACTATCTGGTAGGGCAATTCATAATATTTGATCTTTTTTGTCAGTTTTTAACCTCTATTTCAATTGCATGAAATAATCCATAAAGTTTGAAATAACAATATTCTAATTGATATATACAATAAATAGCATTATAAAAAATAAAATAAACGTCTGTTCTTGTCACCAAATGCTGAGGTCCATAAAAAGGTGATAAAACGTCTCTGACATCAGCATGGCTGTATGAATTTATATAAAGGTACAATCGAATAATTAGAGGAAACAGGCCCAGAGCGAGACTTGATTGTTCGGAGGGCCAAGTAATATATCTGGAGAGGCAATTTTGTATGGTGTTTAGTAACAGTATTGAAATTGGTCGGTTGAGAACGGGCTAGAAGATATAATTGATTTGGCTGTAATAAAACCTTGGGGGTCTCTTGTGTATTTTCAGTTCAGAACACACATTGTAACAAGGATTCAGCAGAAGTCAACAAAGCATATTGGAAAAGATGTTCTAATTTAACCTTTGGTATCTATGGATTAAATTCAGTAGGAGAAACGGTTGCTCGCAAGCTCAAATCTTATGGTATTAAAACTGTGATTGCTCATGATGTACACCCTTATAAAATGGTTAAAAACATTGAACCAGAAATAAAATTAGTCGGATGGGAAGAACTTCTTGAGAAGTCTGATGTTTTGTGTATTTGTGACATTGATGATGAACGTTCAAAGAAACAATTTGATGAAGACACATTTGATATGATGAAGCCGAATGCTGTTGTTGTTCTTGGAGATAGGCGTCAAACAGAAGGCAATGTTAATTTCGTCCATTTGTATCAAACACTCAAAGATGGGAAATTTGACGCACTTGGAATAAACTCTTGCAATCAAGGTCCTGTACCTTACCAATATCCTTTATCAGGACTTCATAATTGCGTTTTTCTCCCGCAAACTCAGGAGAGTTCATTCGATCAACGTCACAAAACGGCTGTTGCAATGGCGGGAAAATTATTGTTGGAGCTAAAGAATAAGAATAAGCAAGTAAAATCAAATTAAATACGTAGCTACAAATACAACCAAGTGCTTTATTTTACTACCAGAAATACTAATTCATTGACACCAGCATTCTAATACAATGTTGATGAAGGAAGGGAGGCTATAAATCTCTGAAATGTTGGCATCTTGGACTTGTCATGTTGACTTGTAGCGTCCAGCTTTATTCATATATATATATATATATATATATAATAGTGATATCAATAAAAGAAATTATAGAGCTTCTTTCATGGTCAACTTATCTCTGAGAGGACAACTATACAAAGAACTGAGAACATGGCAAGAGAAGTGAATTATATTAACTCATGATATACGATGGTTTCTAGGCAACTTTGATATTTTCATTTTGTTGGTTATTTTATCACCAAATTGTGCAATTGATTCCCTTATATTTGTGATATAGCAAGCTGTAATTATTTATGCATTTTTTTGACTAGTACTAATTGAGTAAAGGGTGTAAATAGTGTTATTATGCAATCTGATGTTATTATGTTGTTTTATTTTTATTTTGTCATGTTGTCAATAAAAATAATGATAAATTGATTGGATATTGTATATGTTTTCTTTCTGATAACTGGGAAATTTGTATATAATTTGTCTTAACATTTATTCTTTACACAGTAACTAGCTTGTAACTCTAACTATTTAGATAATTTTACTATATGGCATTGTTATCTGCTGGCTCAGTGAAGTTTGATTTATTTTATATATGAGGTGTTCTATTCATTGCATCATTGACAATTCAGTCCTAGATTCTATGAGTCGTAAGGTCGATTTGAGACCTACTTGTTATATTGTCTATTGTAGACTTGTTTTCTCCATGATCACTTTTGCACGATGTTTTGATTTAATGTATTTAATTGGTTAAGGATTTAGTTTAACAACAATCAAATTTAGATACGAAATTATGGCCTTCTGGACCAAGAGATGATTTATATTCTAAATAAATCATTCTCTAACGTCTGATCTTTCTGATATTGCAGACAATCATCGATTGTACTAGCTGGTTTATTGTTGTATAATATTATAATATTGTTATATTTTAATTAAAACTTTTAAAATTCATAAATCTAATAGTGTATTTTTTATATAAGTCTTGTGAATTGCATTTTGTTGATCGACATCGATCCACAATCAAACCTAACCCCCCATTGGCAAATATAAGTGCCATGCAATTATGTTCAGCAATATATACTCGGCAATAGAGTCAGCATACTGAATGAACTGCCAATACAAATCCGCAGATCTGTTTCAGAAGGGGAGAGGTTCGGAATTGATATTCGAACAGTTGGGAACAAATTCACATAAAATTTGTTCTTTCCTTTAAAGGAATACTACCTCTTAGGATGACCCACGAAATTTAAATGTTTTATTGGTTAAAATATCTAGAGTTTATATTCACCAGTGGCTTTACATTATGTCATGATAATACAACAGAATCCCGCAATAATCTGATACATCTACAAAATTAAGTAATAATCCATAAAGCTTTCAGAAAATATTGAAAAACGCTAAATATTTGAATAGCGTTTTTCAATAATTACTTAAAAGTATTTAAATGGCATTTAGCGATATATAGACAATGTTCAATGGAATAACAATTACTGGTTAAAAAAAAATGCAACGTTTCGGCGTGGAAATATTGCATCACTTTATCCAGTGATCGTTGTTCCATAAAGCTGTGTCTATAATAACTTAGTCTAATGAATTTATTGTCTAATACCGAGATTCAGTTGTATAGTTATATTAAGTCCACTGAAGAATCTATACCCTTACCAGCCAAGTTTGAGATTATATATTTCATGTTCATTTCAGTTAAAATGAGATTCTGGGGATAAAATAAAAATACTATAAAATGCTTGTATTTACTATATGTATTTATTCAGTAAAACAACAACAAGAAGAAAATATCTTAAAAGTACACCGGAAATATGGCATAAATATAGTAAACCTTTAAATTATTATTTATTTGATCCATTCTAATGTTTTAAAAAACAAACAATGATATGTTCAATCATAATAATTCCTGAAATACGTATAATTATATCATTAAATGGCATTCAAAGTGAGGAAACTGAATTAGATTTTTTAGATATTCTCCATAGTAGTATAGGACATTTTGGAACTGTGAAACCCAATTTAAATGGATTGCTACATATTAAAATTACCTCCCCGAGGCTATATAGAAATATTTAAGTAATTCTCTCTGTTAGCAATTACGTATTATCAAACTACTTACTAACCCTAAATGTTTTTTTGAATATATTCTATCGGAAACCAGAAACTTTTAAGTCTAAAGGTTTATTATCGACGAGTGGTGTTACGTTTTAGACTATCAGAAGTACTTGCAATAAACTATAAATGTTATAATAACATGTTAAATGACAAAATTCTTTATCAGACAATATTAAACAATAAAATCGACAACTAACAAACAATATATAAATAAGCATTTCTCTACAATCTTGATACTCTTTCATACATTAATAAATCCATAAGTACCGGATTCATGTAAAATAACCATTCTTTTTTTTTGCGTAACAAATATAAAGATTTAAAACAACATTGTGGTCGTATTATGGCTTTGGCTTTCAAAAGTGGACAAATCTAGAAATTAGTTAACTTCTCCCATGGGTTTCTCTTTATGAAAAACAGCTAATATATTTTTTGCAGCTGTGGATGACATACTGTTTCTTGATTCCCATGTGTTACTGCCCATGTGTGGCAGCACGATGCAGTTTGGAATAGAGACTAGTGGATGAGATGCTGGAAGTGGTTCTGGTTCAGTGACGTCAATACCAGCGGCAGTTATCTCACCATTGACTAAAGCCTCGTGCAAATCGTCATGGTTTACTACTCCACCTCGACCACTATTTATCAAAATGGCCGACTTTTTCATCATCTTGAAAGCATCTTTATTAAACTTATGTCTGGTCTGGGCAGTGAGATTACAACAAATACAGATAAAATCAGACTGCTTTACGAGTTCATCAAATGATACAAAATCAGCTCCAATGTCGGAAGCGTAGCTCACACAAACAACGTCATGGTAGATAATTTTACGAACTCCAAACGGACGTAGTCTACGAGCCACACCATAACCAATTCGTCCAAGACCCAGTATTCCTACTGTACGCTGAGTCAGCTCGGTTCCTAATAACCACATTGGTTTCCATAGTCCCCATTCACCATTTTTCACTGCTCGCACTCCTGCAATATGTAGATATAAGACATTGCCTAAGGTGAGTCAGTTTGAGAATGTAGTCCAATAAAGGGATGGTAAAGCGGTTTTCTAAATTTTGTATGTGGAAATTGATAGGTACTAAGTCCTCATTACAACCTCTTTAAGCAAAATTCTAACATGAAATCTAGGATTTTTTTAACCCTGGCCTTCAAATTCCAGATCATCATCGATCGAATGGACAAAACAATAGCTAATGTAAATATATCGTTTATAATTAATATATGTTTATGTTCATGTCAGTTCCATAAAATTCGACAAAAAAAATTCATCATATTGACAGAAAGAATGCTGCTTATGAAGATCGCATTCTCATCATATCCTACCTTCGAGAAGTCGCCTGGAAGTCAGCAACAATAATGATACAGTTAATTCAGCAACACTATCAGTGGAAACATTTGGAGTATTAGCTACTACGATACCACGTTTCTTACATTCGACTAAATCTATATGCTCATAGCCAACAGACATTGTGGCTATCACCTTTAAGTTAGGCCCTGAAATTGTAAAGACATGAAATACCGATAATTAAACGTTTCTTATAATTTACAATACAAGTGAAGGGATCGAAAAATGTATAAATAGTACCATATTTGATTGATTTTGTACCTTAAGATATTTTTTTCGTTTTAGTTTTGATAAATAATGATTTTTTTTCTGTGAACAATATTTTATTCATAGGAGAAATGGATTAGGGAACAGGAAGAGTATAAATCGGCTATAAATGCAAATTGAGGCTGCTTCCAGCACGATCCCTTGTTCAAGCAATAATTTTTTTTATTTGAAGAAAATTTTTTGATTGGAAGCGGGTGGTCACCAATAGGTTTATTCTTGTTCTCCCTAGAAAATCAGGCATCAATATTGAAATAGTTGTAGCCTAAGCTACATAAAAGTCCATAGAAAAATTCAATGGTCATTAACGAATAAGGGGAAACAACTCATAGAAGAAAATCAATAGGCCCTTGAACATGGATAATTAAAGATCAATCCACAACCTTGACATTGTAAATGTCACATTGCGAAGTGTGTCCAGATAACCCAGACTTTTCTAGGTTACCGGTTATCCCTATCAAAAATCCAAAAATTACGTTACAATCAAAAAAAAAAAATAAAGATTTTAATTACCTGCAGCATCTATCACGTCCTTGTTAATATTATCAGTTAACATACAAAACAAACCGTCAATTCCTTTCACATTTTTCAGTAACTCGTCTTGTGGAATAGCTTCGTCCGACTCCCAAAATGACAGATCACATTCCGGTTTCAGGATGTCTATGCCGGTCTGTGGCACCAACCTGGTCACATAAACCTTACGAGCACTCGACATGTTTCAAAGCACAAGTTTTAATTCATAATACAGTTAGATTCATGCAGAAAGAGCCGGGGAACCACCATAGATATCTGATTGGATGATATTTTAATGTGATGACCTAAGGGTCCCTTCTGACCAATCATTAAGTAACACTCCCTAAACACGTGTTGGTGGAATCCTCATGTTAATACAAGTTGAAATATCTCCAGAATATTTCTCAAGACAAGCTGATGTAAAAAACTGTATTATTACAATGTGAGGTGGCATTATTAAACAGCTTATGGTTATGGTGTGTAAATTAATTTCACGACATATTCGTGAAATCAACCTTGATCATTTATTCCATTTCAAACTTAAAGGTAGGCCTAAATTCATGAAAACTATCACAATTTGTGAAACAAGTGTTTGCATCTTGACGATTCTGTCATGTTTTGTGGTAGAGGAACTTGAACTTGAATACCCATAATAGGCTATCTCTGGAAATGGGTGGTTGGTTGGGGGGGGGGGGGGGATGTGCATTTTCATGCTGGTAGATGTGGTCGAAACATGTGGTTTCAAAGTGTTCTCGATGACATCACGTCCGTATACTTTCTGCATTAATGGTGCCTTGAATGGCCTTGGTGTCCACCTTCCGACCATTCGATCAAATTCCAATAATGTATGCCCACAATATACCATTTCTTAGCATCTGATAACTGATTTCGGATTTCGAGTCATTTTAGTGCGTCACCTGCACAGTATACCACAAGAAACATTATTTTGAGAAATGTATAATGCACACATTTTCTCTTCATGCATGGTAATACCATTTAATTCACTTGCACTTTTTCTAGAAATGAGTTTGCCTTTAGCATAATATTTTGTCAACTTTCAAAACTGTCAACTGTCAATTATAATATTTTATAATTTTGCTGTTTACTAAAATAATAATTAAACTGCAGTGATTTTCAGGATGAATAGGAATTAAAATCTTTTCTATACAAAACTGATTTTGTGATTTATACTTTTTTAACGCATTTTGTAAATGATTATTTATTCACAATTTTCAAATGAAAGTTAATAATTTATTATCATTAACCCATTCATGTTTACTTAACGTGTTGATATCAGATTGCTTTTTAATCAAAATCCTCTACAAATAATATGTCAGTGAAGATTCCGATGGATTAAGCTAATTTGTTAGTTTTTTCAATTTATATTCTGTTGTTTTCGTTTCCATTTCTGTTTTAAAAGCTGTAAAATATTTCCGTGTTTGCTGTTTATTTCGGGTTATTGGTAGGCTCTACTTCTTTGCTGGCTGTGGCAAATTGCAAAATCTCTGAAAAATCAACCTTCTGGGTTAATAAGGTCACGTGCTAGAACAGTCTAAATTAGCGACATTTTCTGTGTTTGGAAGGTTGTGAAACCGGAAGAAGACGTCAGACACCAGAAATGAAAGAATCGGCGAATAGTCAAAGTGAATGACAATTACCAATCTATCAATAAATAATACTTGTTTGCTGCCAAATATTTTCTGCTACTATCTTATATAGGTTTACATACCAGTGACTGTATTTTGAATTTCCCTTAGCTGCAGTAGGTGATATTAGCAATTGGTGTTAGAGTTGGGTCATTGACATCAGCTTCAGAGGAATACAACCGCAACAAATTTTTATTAATTGTCCTTATGCCAAACGTCATTACCACCACTAAGTTGTAATTGAAATTATAAACAAATCATAACCATAAACAAATCACAATTGCTTTTGATTTAAACAACTCATCGACTGAAGACATTCAGTTTTGAATATCAATAAAAGTCATTCCTTTTAATGATAGGTCGACATTTTCTTGTATTAATGACACACCATCTTTTTAAAACTTAATCAATTTATCAACTACAGAAGGATTTCTTCGGATCCCGGCTGTTATTTTCTTGTCTTGTGTTTAATTTTGTGTCGAACATTGCCTTTCATAATGTTCGTGTGTAGTTTCTTTAATATAGTCCAATGATGGAGAACATCGTGTTAATGAGGTAATAATCGCCATGTTTAATTGAAGGATGGTTCTTTATTGTTCTTGAGAGACGAGTTTTTTTAAGGCGTTTTTATTGGACACCTTCTAAAACTGTTTAAAATTCTGATAGTCAACTTTCATTGTTTACATATTTATTAAAACTAACTTTACAATACAAGATAGCGTATAAGTATTGAGTATGATCCATAGTCCGAAGTAACATATCACTGTCACCTACATCAAATCAATAGCGTGCATAGAATGTCATGTGCATTTTTACTCTGTCAAGGACAATATTTCATAAATACCGTTTCTGAACATCTAGACAATAGATATTAGTCAGTCTTTCGTTTCACAGTTTGGGCAGTTTTCAACGGGCTCTCTGGAAAAAGTTAAACAAGGTAGAATTATTTGATTTGGCATGAGATGTCATATGAATTAGTGGAGTAAGCATAGACAATATAGTCATTGCATTTTATATATTTTATTCAGATTCGGATCTTGATGTCTGAAGTTGACATTCCTTACAGATTTGGGGAAATTAGAAATAGTCGTTTCCTGTTTGGGCCCCTTTAGGCCTGTGAAAGGCCTTAGTTTGAAGTGAAAATTAAGCTCAAAATCCATCTCAGACCATCTGAAATCCGTTGACTTCTGGCCTCAAGGGTCTTCTGGGCTCGCCTCGAAAAGACACCTCTCATTTTACCCTTCCCACCTATAGCTGGAAAGTTTTAAACCGGTAGTGTGAGTTCACCAGCATTAGACTACTTTATCACAGAACATAGTTCATATTTTTTCATTGGTTGTTCTGAATATTCCCAGTGTAATTCGATTAGTTAAAACCGAGGTAACTAGGTCAGGGACCGAGGTAACTAGGTCAGGGCAAAGACTTCTTATACTAAGAAGGGAGTAGTTAGCCCTTAAAACTGATTAAATGGCATACCGATTTTCTAATAAGAAGGTAAACGGTCATTTTAATAATTATAAAAACGCGAAATATATACATCATAATATATTGTACAAACTGAAAACCATGTCATTTAATATGATATTCTCAGATCATATAGAGGTTGTCTCTGGTCTATTAGACGTCGGTGCCATCTGCCGGTGTATATTTGCCATCACTTCTTCATAACTTGGTGGAGGTTCAAAAGGGTCGCCGGAAGGAACATACGGAGGAGGGCCATTTCCTATAGAAACATAGTTCTGTGCTGAATCAGGGGTGGATGGAGCTGATGGGTCTTCGTTTTCAATTTCTATTGGCGGAGGTTGCCACGGCTGAGGTATCTTTATTTTACAGCATAAACAATAAGGTTTGAACCAATTCCATTGGACCTTTCCTATTCTATACCTTTTATACAGGAAACAATGAATAACACAAATTATAACGACTGCCAAAAGTGATAATCCAATTATCAAACCTATGTAGTTAAATTCTTCTACAAAATAAAAGAAGATGTTTCGTAGTATAACTCAATCTAGAACCATATTTGTATATATTAAATTACTACAGATAACAGTTTTTAGAAGATATTTACCATTTTATTCCCAGTTATTTCTCTTGAAAATTTTGTAAATCTGTGTATTACTTTGAAAAAATTATATCTGCATGTTGTGTTTTGACTCGATATAATATTTCATACGGCGTTCAGAGTTTAGTTTAATTAAAAAGGAGGAGGCTGCCTCCCAGAAAAGTTTACAAAGGGCCTCATTCAATTTTAGTACATAATATTTACACTTTAAGTAATGCATATTTCCACAAAAAATTATTTCTGGACCGTGACCAAGGTTCTGTAGCAGACTCTTTTATTTTGTGGAATTGCATCTAAACATCATCGGGATCGGTGCTTGTGTTAAAATTTGTTTTTCATTTTATACACAGATTAATTGTTGATATTTGTAGGTAGTAATCCTCGCTGTATAATCTAAGTTGTTGATGATCTTTTCAAGCAGAATGATTTTTCACTATTACTTTCATTAATAACTTTAGAATATAATATAAATATTTTAAATGTGTTTAAATTACCACATACTGCCAGTTTAAGTATGATTTTAAGGCCTGTACAAGAATCAGCCTGTCTGACTGATCTTTTACTTTTATATTCAGCTTACCTGATTTGGCTATAGGTTTTGCTTCGCTGTAATACTTAGCTCTAAATCCTACACCTCTGGTTTGGTCGTTGGAGTAGGACGAGAACTCGAGAAACATATATTCGTTAGTGCTAACATAGCTTCCAATATTATAACACACTTTACCAAGAAGACGAGATTTGTCACTAGGACCTAGAAATAGAAATCCGTAAACATATTAACAAAAATCATGGTTAGTTCCTAGCTCTAACTATAAGCCTAATCCTAAAATCTTACTAAACAGTCATTATTTAATCTTAAATCTTAAATCCTTTTCGTGAAGAAACTCGACCAAACTTTTTACATATGTTCCAGGCATCAGGCAATTCCCCAGGACAGACTTTGTGGCCACAATAATTAATAATAATATTTATTACTGTGGGTAACTAAAAGCGATAGAATTTAAAAATCTGGTCTGAATCATCATCTTCCTTCTGCAGTTGATGTCATCTGCTTTAGCCGCTATGTCTTCGGGACACCGAAAATAAAAGACAAAAATCACACGATAACATATTTCAACCGAAGAAACAAAACTTACCATCGTAAATATACAAGGCATCTAATCCACACACTGCCGGGTTGCCAACAGCAGCACGAGTCACATCTAAATGTACACGGACATGATTTTCAGGTGATTTTATTCTGAAACCACATTTGACGTTTCTGAAATAGAACACATTTTAATGATTAAGATGATGTCGGACTCATTTGTATAAATATGCTACTATTCCATTAAAGAATATATTACTCGAATTTTTAAGATGTGAAAGGATATTGATTATCTGAACAATTTGAACTGTTTATTACATATACCAAGTGATATTTAAGGTGAGAAACAGAAAGAAGAATGAGGACATGAATTGGGTCCAGTTTTTTGACTAGGATGTTCCTGTGCTTTATGGGCCGCAAGTATCTAGTACTAAAAGTTTGATATATGAGATATAGAAATATAATACTATAATATAGTATACATACTTTGGATAATAGGCGGGAAAATTAGGCGACACAACGAATTGTTCTGTATTTGTTGCAGTTAATTCATAAAAATGTTTATCTGTGCACTCTGCAATATAAAACCTGAAAACGTTTAACTCCTAATTAATAAATCTAATTAGTTCGAAAAGAGGAAGGTATCGAGTCTAGGAAGAACACCGATGGTCTGGTATAGGTCATAACAAATTTGAAACATAGTGTCAGAGCTGTAAAGGCAGACATTGAAAGATAGACAAGTCATTCAGACGGCTAGACAAAGATCCTAGCTGTCGTTTTCGTGGCAAAATGGCCCTCTTACCTAATTCCGTGCAACGTTAAAACATATGCATAAAAGTATGAAAAAAGGCAACATATATCCACGTCTATCAACGGCAAAGATTAATGGATATTAATTTAATCGCACCGAAGATAACTAATCTGAAATACGGTTGGGGATCTAGGGGGAAACCACGTCGAGTAATACAACTAGATTTAATGGTTTATGCATATAAAGTGTTCATATATATCGGGTGTCTCAAAAAAAAACGATAACACTTTTCAATTCAGTATCAAAGCTATGATGACAATATACTGACCGCATATTTTTAGGGATATAAGATATCTTTTAACTAAATAACAAAATTCAGAAGGCAATTTTTCAAAACCTTTTTTGGGTTTAATATCCCTGAAATATGAGGTCGAAATATTATGATCATAGTTTTGATACTATTTGAAAAATGCTGAAATGAAAGGATGTTATCGTTTTTTCTGGGCCACCTGATATAATTATAACAGTATTACACTAATCAGTTTCCTCACCTGTGAATAGGGGTTTTTTATACTCAGTTGACCTACATAGCATTATTAATAAACACCATATAGTTGGAGTTATCCACCAATCCATAATTCTAACACATACATTTTACTTATCATTTAATCCAAAATCCCCATCAATGACAGCATTAATGTTTACCAGTATACAGGCCAACAGGTATAACTATATATAATAAATTTCGATTTCGCAGCCTTGACCTTTATTGCACCAGGTTCAGGTGTAAATATAGTCGTGTTTCTCCAGTCTTTCTTTGCTTTGAACACTACCTCGCATTCATTTGTTTGTCATAATTATCGTTCGAACGCAGAGATGGCTAATTTGTAAATTTGTCAGTAGTGTGCTAAAGGTTTTATTGCAGAGAAAGATCCGCTCATGTCGAACTCAATGTCTCCCCGAATTATTATTTCTCTGCTTCCTCATAGGTGATAAATTAATATCATAGGTGATTGATTAATAAAAAATTAATCTACTTCCACTGCCAAAATCGCGTTATACACAATCTATGCCTTTTTATGTTATGTTATAGCCTTAAAAGCATCAAGTACACTCTGAAATCCAAAAGGAAGGCCGAGGTGAATGATGAAGGTTAATAGCTATGGTGCCATATTAAGTAAAGGTAAATAGGTATGGTGCTGTACAGAATGGAAAATAGCTTTGATACTGTGTAAAAGAATGGCAAACAGCTATGGTGCTATATAAATTGATGGTAAATGGCTATGTTGCTATAAAAAGTAAAGATAAATAGCTGTGGTGCAGTAAAAAGAATGGTAAATAGCTATTGTGCTATATAGATTAAAAGTAAATAGCTATGGTACTATATAAATTAATGGTAAACAGTTATGATGCTATATAAACTAAAGGTAGATAGATATGGTGATGTATATAGGAATGGTAAATAGCTAACTATGGTACTATATAAAAAAGGTAAATAGCTATGATGCTAAATAAATTACAGGTAATTAGCTACGGCGCTATATAAAGAAAAAAAGCTGTACAAAGTAATAGGAAATTGCTATGGTGTTGTGGTAAATTCCAATGGTTGTGTATAAAGTAATAGAATTTTACAATAGTTCTGTGTGGAGTGGGTTGGTTTATAAAGTAACAGCAAAATGGCTATTGTGGTGTATAAAGTCATAATAAATTGCTATGATGCTGTACAAAGAAATTGTATTTGCTACATGATGCTTTATAAAGTGATAATAAATTATGGTGGTGTATAAATAATAGGTAATTGTGGTGTACAGTTTAATGGTAAATTGCCTTTGTGGGTTATAAAGTAATGGTACGTTCTTTAGTTAGATGTGTATAATGTAATGGGATTTGCTATGGTGGTTGAGTATAATTTAATGGTTAATAGCTATGCTGGTATATTAATAAATGGTAAATTGCTTTGGTATTGTATAAAGTAATGGTACTTGGTGGTGCGGTGCTATTTAAAATGGATGCACATATACCATTTAGGGTCCAGTCGCAGCCAATCCAATGTAAGAAAGCTGGTTCTACCTGATTGATGATTTTATTACTTGAATTTTAATAAAGAATTATAATATAAAAATAAATAACATAATGTTAACAAACATGATTTTTGAAATATCCAAAAGAATTATACGTTTCACTCACTGCCTAAAATTTAGGGGAAAATCTACCTTAAGTGTTTTGTAAAAGTTGACAAATAATATCGGATAGGTACAAGGGTACACTTTATCATACATGTGTATTATTCAGACCTTTGAAGTGAAAATGATGATCCACAGTACCGAGTACATTAGAGAGCGCGATAATTCATGTACTCAAATAACCCTCCAAAATCATAGCTTTATCACAATTTAACAATTATTGTGATCAGTTCCCTCTCTTGAATATTGAAATTGGAGAAATGTATATTCATTAGTTACGCCCCTTGAACTTTTTAAATTCGTCGGTCAGGTAGTTTTTGTTGGCGCCTTCCACTCTGTAGTGTTGTTGTGTATCAATAGAGCATTTATGACGTGTATGGAGCCAGGCAGGGTATGCTTACTCTTCTAGACACCACTTTTCATTATGAAATACTCACTTATGACGGATATACTTCCTGCTACCAATGTCTCGCCAAAATGTTTTGGATTTCGGGTTCCGTTTTGCGGTTCTTATCTTTAGTTCTTGATTTGTATATTGACATGCTTATATAAAGTCGATATATATACATGATTGTGGAATTGCAAAATCCCTAGACATCTGACTGAAAATTGGTTTGGTTTGGTTTGGTTTGGTGCAAATTCATTCTATCAATGTCCCGACCCGATATACATAAAAAGTTACGATATTTATCTGTCATCTGATGTCTTTATAGTTGAATATTTGAGTATCCAATATGAATAGCTTATATGGTCATTTCTTTAGTCAAACCACCGACATCCTCTCCGCCAGTAGTTTACATTGCACGCCATTGTTTATGGATTTCATTTCACAGGGTTTTGGAATAAAGGACGGTTTATTGAAGCTATTTTGTTCGATTAAAGTATATTGAGCGTTGTACACAATATTTCCATTTATCATATAGCCATTTGTGGAACTTTTGGTGCTTGTCGTCCTGTTAGTTCCACAGTGATTTCGTGCATTTCTTATTATCTTAAAATGTTTTTCAATAGTTGGTCTTATGAAAAAATATCCCAGGGTAGCACCGATAACTAGAGACAAGAATATCCAGATATTAAACGTCATTGCTGCCAGCATTAAAAGATATCCTGTGCTAAAATGTAACATATGCAAAAACGAACCGGTAATTCGAGATAAAATTTGATACTTCCTGGCATTTTTTGGACTGAAAAAGAAAATTAAACATCTATAACAAAAAAAAAAACAAAAGCGGACAAAAGATTCGGCTTCAAATAAGTGTGTGATTACCTCCCTTCAACTGCTGCTATCACCCACGCAAACTTTATACACATCTGAACATCGTCAAACACAAGTAAACTCAACGTGCAACTAATAAATATTTTTCCACTTCAATGAAAACGGGATTAGTCAGCCATTACTTGGGCCAATTCATAAAGTTCATTATAAAATATAACGTCAGTTGTTTAGTTACATTATACCATTATCAATGGAATCAACAGGTTCAGATAAGTGGCACCCACCCTGAAAATTTGGTCGCGTTCTAAAATTGCCTAGACTGCGAAATTTCACGACATATAAAGCATGGGATAAAAAGACATCGTAGTTTTTTCTGGAACGACAGTAATCACACATAAAATACCAGCACTGTGTTTCATAGCGTTTTGGGTTATCCAGTACATTCTTATGAAGGTAATCGACAATACAGAATTGTATATTATAAAAGTAGACAACTACTGAAAGCAGAGCTTTTTATGTAATTTAATCATGAATGTTTGACGAGAAAAAAATATTGCGAGGCCTACCATTTTTCTCCACGTTTTTGTAAAGCACCATGAACATAAACATAGTATCTTAAACCTTCGTACGAGATGGCAAATACAAATGTAGCTATCATAGCTAACACCAATCCTGAAATTTGTAATATACATTTATTGACATAAACCATGTCACTGTTCTATATAGGACTATAAATCAAGTTTTTATAGCATTGTATTTTCATGAAGACACAACAGAGATAGGCCTATATTAGAGGCTTTAACAGGGAATGATGATTGGTCGAGACAATATCCTTTTGACTGTGTCGGTTCATTCTGATACAGATATTTCACAAGGTTTGTCATTTCATTGCATTCACAAATGCAAGACACATTTTTCGAATGACTTTATTTGGATTTTATTCAAATGAGTTTCGCAGTTATTCAGAATCTTCTTTATTCAGCCTTTCAGTAATATTTGTACACTGAGAAATAAACATTGAAAATTCCAACAGGTGAACCGGATTGTCTACTGTTTGCACATGATGCATAATTATAGAGAACTGATAATCCCTGTACAAAGAAGATAAATACACACCTGTTATAGTAGATAATGTCCAATCTATAAATAACATGGATGTCATTGGTGTATGGTAGTTGAATATCTGAATTGGAAACAAATATCGAAACCATCACTTATTCAATAGAATTTAAATTTCTCATATTATCTATACAACTCCAGCAACAAATTAAATTACAGATAGTGGCTAATAATTTAAATTCTGATTTTGTTTTAAGATATCACATTTCATTCTGCTTGAATACGATACATCATGTTTTAATAACAATTCTTTTGGTTTTCGTGAAAATAAACCCGAAAAAATCAACAAATAGTTTCCTTGTACAATCAGAGTGAAAAAAAAAGTTTTTCGTTTGATTTGCGATATCATTTCTGTCATGTGACATCCTTGCAGTCTATTTGCAAGGTGAACTTTGATTTCAAATATTATTTAAAACGTAAAGAGTTAATGTACTGGTGATGTACGCAGAGAGTAAATCAAACATAGCCCACTATATAGAAAGATATGTCAAAATAAGATGAATGGATTAAGGCTAAGTCAATAGAGCAACAAATATCAAACAAAAGTAAGAAACCTCGTGATTACTACTCAGGAATTGGAATATTACTTATATTTCAACGTCTCTTCGATTTAAATATATTCTTTTTACTGCTAGTACATTTACAGCTGTTTTTTTTATGTGTATGCGCATGATATACGTAATCTGTTTCGTGCACTATTTTTAACTACCGGACTTATTATTATAAACACAAGCTGCGAATGTTCTGTGGACCTTAGTACAGTCAAAATGAGTTAAGCGTTATCTTCTTATATTGAAGTACATTAGAAACATTAATACATCAGGTTACCCAAATGATTCATACATTAAACAAGTTGGTTTGTTTTCATATATAGAAATCCATACAGTATAAATATAAGGATATATATTAGGATAGAATTAACTATATTACCGAACGAGCATGCATCATTTTATGCATCATTCCACCAGAGTCGTTTCCATAATGTGAAATGTCCATCGGGTGAACCTTGTTCATTGAATCATGACCTTCCATTGTTTACAAATAACTGGTTATAGGCCAACTTCAAATTATAACCCAGCTTCTTCTAGTGGCTTTAATACCAGTCGATGTAGTTACAGGCAGTTGGCTATTCTTGTGACATTTTCAGCTACGATGTAACATATTAGCTGATTCCTTTTCTGATTAGCGTGTTATTGGCACTAATAAAATTATTTTCTATACATTGACCATGTGAACTCCATTAAATTCAAGTGGTTTAAATATCTATTGAACATGTACTCAACTAATGTAAATTCAAAATACTAAATCTTCCAGTCTTCATTCGCCAACAATGATTACTTCCTTTTGTTAATACTGAGTGCAATCCTCTATATCAAATTTTTGAATTGAATTAGGATACGTCCGGCTTCAATGTCTTCACCATTTTACGATAATTTTTTTTATTGTCCAGAGTGAATACTCAACCATACACATTTTGCACACATTATCTCATAAGACTGCACTATCTTATCTTTAAGATACATAACATCCTATAGTACTGTAATCCAATAATCTGACACAAACACCTGTATTTGTATTATATGAATGATAATAGGTGGCGTGGTTTGTCTACCCAACTGTGAACAGTTCACTGTGGACTTCAGGCGGTCAATTTTAATCATGGGATTATTTATTTAATAACTTATCTAAACAACTTCCTGAACTGCCAATTATAAATATCGTCAATATACACGATTACCTTTTATTGTTACAGGTCATTTTACTAGTATCTGCCTCATTTGAAGATACATGTTAACAGGTCTACTGAAAGATACATATTTCGTTAGTTATTGATCAACTATTCAACAGTGTGTATTGGGGACATACTACCAAAAAAGGTTGAATAAATGTCAGCCTGTGATTATTGCCTAACTTCTGGAGTGTAGTTGAAAGAAAAATTCCATGATAGGGTGGTGGTCCGCGGACTTCGACCGGTCCGTGTTGATCTACTGCAAGGGGAAATGGTACCCTTTCACTTGTCAACTCGTGATCAAATGACATGATGACTAACTTAATGATGTTCCTAATTCCTTCTTCTTCAGTTATGGGAATTTTGGTGTGTTACTTACAGTGTCCTCGAGTCTGTGTATGTAAATACTAATTATTTTCAGGCATTTTTAACCGACTAAATATTGTTTGTATAGTCCGGTGTCCTCTTGTCAATGATGAGGTAAAGTAATAATTAAATATAAATATAAATAAACAAAAAACATGTATCCATCAATACGATATAGCAGGAAAATGTCTTTAATACGATCATAGTTAGTTCACAAGCAGTCCCCAATACGCCCATCTGGCCCCTATCGAACTCCACAAGAATTGCAACAAACATTGTAACTAGCTTGCATCCTTGTGATCATCATGCCTCCAAGGAAGGGTTGAGTCAGATTAACAGTGCGTCATAAAGCTGACACTACTAAAAGAATCCAAAGAACCTGCCCAACTGAAGCCCACCCCAAAGTTCCGGAACCCGTTTCTGAGTCTAGAAACAAAAAGGATTGGTTTGTTTCTCCTTCACCCTCTGATGACTCTGCCTGAGTATGGCTTCATGAGGTATGAGCTAAGGCCAAAGGCGTCATCCATCAGCAGGAAGTAGGGGAAGTTCTGATCATCAATTGGAAGGAGAGGGGAAACCAATGAAGCCATCGTTGAAACATTTTTCAGTTCTGACTGGTTGTATATCTGGGCATCGGACTGGCTCCCAAAACTACCAACATCTGTCCACACACAACTAAAAATCTACCACAGCCATTAGCACTATTGAATAAAAGTTTGTTAGTTGTGGTACATGGTTACAGTCTTCCAGCGTACTGAGAACCTCCCGCGAACTTTTAGAACTGTGTGGAAACGTGTTGCAAACTTGTTTAGGACGTAATGCAGTCGAATTGAGTCTGTCTGTGAACGAGATGAACGAGTTACAAACGAACCGATGTGCCCTATCGGTATACTCATAGCACGTTCCTATCACGATCCAAGTACGGCAATTCCGTTCCTACTACGTTCATCCCGTTTTAAGTATGTTCTCATTACAGAACTCTCGGAAATTTTTTAACAGGCTCAAAGTTCTGGAAACCGTCCTAGCTCGTCCATGAAGTTCGTAATCAGATCTTAAAACTTTGCTACTACGAGCATTACCGTTTTCACACAGTTTGGACTCGTTTCAGTTATTATATGGGATTGAGTTACTTCTATTGTTTTAATAGATTGAGTTATTGGCTTAATGACCTGGCCACATATTCTCAAAACGATCCTAGTGCTAGGATGTCCTAAGTTCTTACCTTTTAACATTGATTCTAGGACATCCTAGCCCTAAGATCGTTTCGAGAATACCCGGCCTGAGTTTCTATTGGCCAAACGGAACGACTTGCTTCTACTGGCGTATAATCATCGGGTTACTTCTATTGTGTTATTGGATTGAGTTTCTTCTATTGACCTATTGGTTAGTTCTGTTGACTTAATGGATGGAGTTTTATTAGAATGATGCACTGAATTATTTCTATTGGCCTGATGGGTTGAGTTTTCTTCTTATTGGATTAAATAAGTGTTAATGTGATAATAAAATTGACAATTTGAATTCTTTTTTCATTCCACCGCTATGGAGTTATTATGACATTGTGTGACAAACTAATTATTTGGTAATGTTTTGGTTGTCAGCGCATAAAAACACATCAGCATAGAATATAAGGTTTCTTCTCTGTACGATAAGGGTTTTGTTTGCCTTTTACAAACTGGCCTATATGTATTTAGCTGAGTTATTAGATCTGAACAAACAAGAAATAGGTTAAGTTACAGTGTGAACAATAACCCGTTCACTATATGTACATTTAGAATATAATACCACTTTCGTCATACTCTGATAATCCAAGTAGAGAATAACACTTTGTTAAGGACAAGGTAGCTGGGGCTTGGAGACACACACCTGAAGAGAGTTTTCCTATTACATTGAATGCAATAACTCATACTAGTTATTTTCGTTTTTTCTGATTTTCGATAGGGTTCATCTTGGGTAATAACAAACACTTACACCAAGTTTCGTCAAAATCCGTCAAGAATTGTGCCTTCTAGAGTGTTTACGTGCTAAAATTTGAACGCATTTTCAAGAACAAGGGCAATAACTCATACTACATATTTTTCGATTTTTCTGATTTTCGATAGGGATCATCCTTGTGTGATAACAAACATTTACACAAAGTTTCGTCAAAATCTGTCAGGAATTCAAACTTTCCGCAACGGCGGGCCACATAACCAACCATAAATGAATCATGGAATTAACAATGAGAAACATGCAATTTTTTTAAAGTTATTTATTCAATAACGTATTTCAATGTGCATTGCAATAGCAGAAATATTTGACGTAAAATCACTATTTCACACGAGGGCAGACCTCGTTAACGATTTGATTGGTTACATTCACTTTGATATAACAGTGCGGATATAATGGGTTTCGATATCAGAATAGGCAGTGATAATCTGCGGGCCACAAGAGCAAACTAAGCATTTGGTCGCGGACCGCATTTCCTTCAAATTTTACATGACGCCGCGGGCCACATGAAATCATCTCGCAGGCCGCAGTTGGCGGGTCGTAGGTTGCACAGGCCTGTTCTAGATTATTTACAAACTAAAATTGAATGAGTTTTCAAGAACACGGGTAATAACTCTTACTAATTATTTTTCAATCTTCGTTCGCCGATAGTCACTTTGACAGTTCAGTTGACTGTTTGTTCCCTATTCAAATCCATTCAACTTAATTCGTAACATTCCCTATCCGTTTCCCGTCGCGTCCCCTCTCTATATCCCATTGTCTTAAGTTGTCTTCGTTCCCTGCTATTTTTTCTTCAGTTTATCTGTTCCCAAACCCCTTCGACTTCAAACGTCGCTTTCATTCTCATTGTCGTGATTCGTTGCGTTCCGTTTTATTATCCATAGTTTTCAATCGACGCTTTACTTCCCTTCTATCATTGCTCAATCCGTTGCGTTCCCTGTCCAAAAGACATACAATAATACTACACTGGTTTCAACATTGTATATGTGCCCAGGGTTAGGAATGTCTAGTGTCTATTCTAACATAAACCCCGACCTTATTTAAACTGGTATTAGTGATTAGGGTGATTGAAAGTAAAAAGTTACCGTGTAATTGTTTCTAGCCTTTCATAACCTCTTTATTAACACCATTCCTACTTTCTTTACAATTATATCATCATGATATCATTTTCTTGCTGGGTTTACTAGATTAATCAATTCAAATGGTTACCACGCTACCTAGCACTGGGTTGGTAGAGCTTATATCTATTCAATTCTATAGCACAACTACACCAGTTGTTATTGTGGTGCCTTCATATATTTCTGTAAAAGTTAGCTCGGTTTTAATCATATTTAGGTGAAAAATATATTGGATTAACATGCGGCTGTTCACGATATTTCGTGCATTATTAGTACGAATGTTATTTGCTGCTCATGGTCTGATTGCAATATGGCGAATGTTTATGGTAATTGGAGAAACATGGTGTTGGTACCTTACTGCTGCTTTAGGCCTTCTGCTTGTAGAAACAATGGTAACTTTATGTGTTAAAAAAGGAAAAGAATGGAAATGGTTTGTAATATGTTTTTATTTTATTTTTTTTTTCATTGCTTTTAGTTTTGAATATCTGATTATCGAAAAGAAATAGTATGTTGATTGTAATTTGATTGTAATTGTTGGCAACCAAAGAAACTGAATAGCAACTGACGAAACATTGCATTATAGAAACTTGAAATAAAGTTAAATATTGGGTTTTAAGAGTGGTTGGTTGAAACATTTTGCTTTCCCTCTTCTTTTCTGACCTAGATCATTATTAAACCAACCTGTTTTCAGTGTTGTCATGTGAGATCTGAACTAGGCAATGATCTGAAGACTATTAACTTGAACAGATAAAAGTATTTAACAACTAATTTAAAAGTTTGTTTCTTACCTATTTCATACAATTATGTTCTTATGCCAATTAATTTGCTATGGTCTGATATACAAGAAACAAGAAACCCCTCACCACTAAATCATAGACTAATTGAATCATAACGATTTATAAGAGACAAAATCTTACATTGATAAAAATTTTCAAACTTTCTTGGTTTAATACTCTAAAATAACTTCTTTATGAAATAGGAATGATCATGTTATTTTTATATGATTTATGCAAAACGCCTGTTGTATTTTATTCATTATTGTTGAATAGTTCTGGAAAGAACTTCATATCTACAACATGACCTCCTTGTAATACCTGGAGCAGATTCCAAAAAGGGTGCAATACAATGAATATTGAATAAATAATGAAGTTCTCCGTTATGTCAATAGGTTTACGAAAGCAAGATACATCCAGTTTGTCATAAATGGGCCGTTCAATTCTTTTGAGATTCAAAGAATATATTGTTAAGTTTTCAAAAAGGTCAATATAATTCTATAGACAAAATTTTATGAAACGTTTCAAAATTTTACGACCTTTCTGTTTACAAACCAATTGTTGGCATGCGGGGGCGACGGCAATACACATCTACATTTACACAGTTGACTAGAGGTGAAATATAAAAATTGATAGTGAAGATGTCCGTTGATACACGTGACCGTGCGTACATGTTTGAAGGTATACGTTTATTGTCTATTGCATTGATATTTATGTGCGCAATGCGTGGACTGATGGCTCATAGTAACCATAAACTTTTAACCAATTTCTTATCTAAAACCTCTCTATTACGGAAATTAGATTGTATATATGGCTGTTACATTCTGAAAGGAATTGCCAAACATAATAAAAAAAAAAAATTTCAGTTAATTTGTTTTTTAAGTCTGGCATCTTTTGGGGTTTTTTTTCTGTTGAAAATTTAAATATTGAAGTTTCTCAGCGATCAATTCTTAGTCAATATCAAGTCAAACCTCTTGAAAATTTTAGGTTTTTTGGCAATCAATTAAGGGATTATGTTAAGTGCACAACGCAGTTGCTAGTCATCTTCAAACAGATCCATAAATGTCAGATAAATTCCGTATTTAATGTTACGTTACTTAACAGCCTGGTCTGCAAGACATATTTTATCTTTCAAATATTTTAATAGTTTCAAGCAGAATCAGATTTGTATTTTTATGTTAAATATACGTGGCTGACTCCTGTCAGAGCCGAAAATGGTTGTAAGTGTTGGAAATAGACAGTGGATATTGGTATAATTTATTTGTTTATTATGATAAACTACGCATAAACATTTTGGTATGATATATCTTCAACAGATTCCGTGTATTACGAACAGACTTATGCCACCTCTCACCCCAACAACGTTATATCATCAGAATCAAATGTCATTATCTAGATGACAAATTGGTTGTTTAGGGCGTAGTGTATAGGTACTTACAAGGTTCAGAGATGATGGCATTTGTACTTAATCACATTGGTTGTCTCAGGTTGCACATACAGGAAGCTCTGTGAATATCCTATAAAAAGTACATGTATTAAACGCCCATTTTTCGCCTCAGCTACCTTGAATCCTCAAATTTCGATCGTTTTATAGCGAAATTTGAACGATCCAGATAGCCATCTATCTTGAACTTGCTCTGTTGAAAACTATCGACCTTAATAGTAACCTTTCAGTGTCAGACGTATACGATGTAGGTAGTCGCCAACGCAGAAATATCTAGATACCCTTTTTACAGACACAGATACGACAAAAATGGTTGATTGGTGATCTGTGTATGTGATACATCTCATCGCCCTTGGACCTATATGCTATTTTCTTCTGTAGTCCTATTGATTCCGGACACCATAACATTGTTGTAACTTTTCACTGTAGATTTTATCATAAGCAAGTGGGAAGTCAGACTTATAATTTAAAATAATCATAAATACTAATAGTTTTGCATTAGTTCTAGTCTAACGTACATTGACTAAAGCCAATGTAATGAAAGTAAGAGAATAGTTTAATGTAGTTTAAGGCTTTTAAACAATCAAGCTGTGATAACAAATATCAGGTAGCTTTTTCATAACAGAAATCAAAATGTAAACTGTACCTACTGAACTAATAAATGTTTTGGGTGGAACTGAGATGGGTTATTTTCCTTGGATGTTTCCCAAAATTAATAATTCCTGTATTAAAACCAGTCAAATATTTTTTAAATGTTCAAAGCGGTATGTGCACTAGCTGTCAATCTCATATTATTATTAGACAGTTTAAGTAGACAGTTGGCATAATCCTAAAAGATGTGTATCAGAGCTCAATAATTTGTGATGTAGACATAAAGTTGTCAAATTAGACATATTTGAATTAGTGAAAGACTTTCTCTCTCTTCGAGGAAATTCATTAAACTTGAATATATGATAATTATTTTTTTAACTTTAGGCAGGACCTGAACTTATTTTATAACTGCACCTTAATAACCCTATAGGCATTATTTTTCAAATGATTACTCCAGGGGTGTGAAGGCTGAAAAAGGTTGGGAACCACTATCCTTGTCTAAACATTTTTGTTTTCTGAAGTGTTTACAAGCAAAAAATTTAACGCAATTAAGAACGATGGCAAAAACCAATAAGAAATATATTTGTGCTTTTTAATAGGGCTCATCACTAAGTTTCTTTAAAATCTGTAGCGAATTTTGCCTTCTATAGTGTTTACAGAACAATAACTTAAATATTTGTACATTTTGTTTATTTCCAATAGATAAATAAATAGTTCCAATAAGTTGCGTCTAAATTCATCAAGAATAACTCATACCAATTATTTTTGATTTTTCTGATTTTCTATAGGGTTCGTCCTTAGGTGACAACAAATACTCACACCAAGTTTCGTCATAATCTGTCAATAATTAAACCTTCTAGAGTGTTCATGAGCTAGATATTGAACGCGTTTCCAAGAACAAGGGCAATAACTCACATAAAATATTTTCTTTTTTTCTGATTTTTAATAGAGTTTATCCTATGGTGACACTCACACCAATTTCATCAAAATCACGGGCAATAACTCATATTGAACATTTTTTTAGATTTTTGTACGCCCACAAATGTTTTTTGGGCGTATATTGTAATCACCTTGGCGGTCCGTCATTCCGTCCACATTTGGCTCGTTCTCACTCTACAGGCTATACAATTCTTTACAGATTCTTTTGATTTCTTTTTTTATGGGTCAATGTCATTATTTTCACCAAAATATCGTGTTCGACTTAGCGTTTTCACTTTATTAGCCATAAAGTGCCACTTTTGCTCACTCTTCAAGCAACAATACTTTATGGATTCTTTTGATTTTTATACGCCCATACGTAGTATTAGGGTACCGACGAACGGAGAACCTTTCTCACATATCAACTGAAAGAGTTATCGGTTTTATTTTAATGTTATTAACCTTATGTTCTCAATAGTTATTTCCTTTAATTAGACTTAATCAAATTTATAGTTAATTATATTAAGTGTCTGGTATATTTGACCTAATCTAGTATTATATATGCAAATTTATGCAAATAAACCAATTACTAGTCACACCTCTTATAATAAATGTATTTTTTATACTCGACCTATGATCTTGACTATTAATTACTTGAGAATGCGCTGAAAGTTTTTCTTTATTCCTTCACGTTCGTTCTTTCGGACATTGTTCTAATCCAACAATCTAATGAAACATGATATTGAGTATCCCCCGACTCGTATGTAGTTTTTGTGTCCTCGAGGTGCGTTGTTCCTGCGTAAAACTAGTATTTTATTTGATACTGGACGATAATAAGCTTAAATTTCATATAAAGAGGAGGCTATGTAGATCTTCCAACTTGCGTGAAACTGGACTTTTAAAGACCAAAGGGAGAATTTGACAAATCGCTTGACTGCGACGACAATAGGTGCTTTATCTTATAGTCTATCTGTTGGATTGGAATCTTTTATCATTCAGTTGATCACAGTTGCCAGTAATCGGCCAGAATTTCAATATAAGCGATTCGTGCTTGAATTTCCAGTTGACCCAAGCTTTGCCTTTTGGGATTTTGGAATTTCGATAGAATCCTGTAGTCCACATGAATAGGTGTTGGGTTTTTCATTTAAAATGGTCCAATCTATCGTTGCCATTGTACGGGTTGGCGAGTGTTTGGACACGTTTTGCAATAGCAATTTATTTGATTTTTGAAAGATATTTTAAAAACATAATGTAGGTCATCTATCTTTATGAATAAGATTTCATCACATGACATAGGTAACAATGTTAAGACTTTGCCGTGAATGGTCGAAATGGTGATATAAGCAATATAGTAATAACTTGTACAGAAATAATTTGGGATTGTACAGACTGATTCAGAATGCCATTTATTGACTGAACCACGCGAAATATTTATTAATCATCGGATTTTTAATGGAAGTTTGAGAGGTTGTGAGATAATGAATCAATTTCACTTACATAACCAATCATTTTTTTTATCAACTACTGAGTTGGATATGGTCTGAATTTAAATTTTAATGGCATCTGTATCCTTCTTGATATATCCTGTTATCTTTTTTGTATTTACCTGTTCGTTTCAAGTTTAAAGTGTAATTATCACAGAAACGAATCAAACAAAGTCAAAACTCGATTTTAATTATTTTTTGTTAAATTCTGTTATGATATTAAAGGATGGAAGTGAAGTCTTGCTGCATGAAACCAGTTCTAATGTAATACAGAAACCTTTGCCTAACTGTAACCACCAACACATATTTGCTCAAAGTAACTGAAAATATATTTAAATAGAAAAAAAGTCAGATCGAAAGAAAGCACTGTTGTTTAAGATCATTTCATATTCCATTTTGTGCGTATTTATGTTTACTAAAATTAAAGAAATCAGACTTGATTAGAATTATCAGTTCTAGACAGCAGTGAGCTCTCATTGACATGAAAATAGAAAAACACCATTTCTTTCATATTCTTACCAACTTGATAGTTACAGGTTGACTAGCTCGTTTATCTGAAAATGAATACTACTCTAAGGCCAGGGTTAGAAATTAACCCGAGAAAATAGTAATCTGACCTTTTATTAAACGATTGAAATTGTGTTAAAATCATATTTGTACATATCATTTCCTTTAGTGCAACCTTGAGAGTTCATTTTGGAGGTCAATAATTGAAAGTCTTACAGAAACACGCAGAGGTTGAGTGTTTTCCTCTTTATTGTTATTTTGTGTTTTCCTCAATTGTTGTATTGTAAATATTTGTAGCATTAGTGGAAACAGTCGTATTGCGATTGAATCTATAACTGCTATCAAAATTACAAACCCAAAATCCCATTGTGTTGATGATGAAATATTGTTAAAATTCCTCAAACTTTTTGCATAATTTATTCAACCAAGCAGTAAAAAAGATTCGAATCTCTTCAGAACCGTATGAAGGGTTTGATGACTGAGGGTTTCAGGATCGTTGCCTGGCCGTTTATTGCGTCTGATCAGTCTAGTTGCTGAATTCAACAGCACAAGCACCAAAATCCTATCCGAGGTGATCAAAAATGTATCTTATGATAGTTGTAAATGGTAAATATGTATTTTGTGATTTTAGCATTATGAAATTGTTCAATATTACTAACAGTTTGATAGGAAACATGTTCTAGACTACTTTATTTTGATCAGATCGTCTTCACTGATAATTGAATTATATCTTGAAACTTGTTGAATATATAACATCTAGAAAGAGAAATGATAGCATCTTTCTTAATCATTCTAACTTTCCCCACCCAGCATCGCTGAAAGGCATGTCCCAAGCGATGTTTCTTTGATGACGAAATGCTATTTCATGATAATATTTGAAATGCCCGAAATAGAGTATGAATTGTTCTAAAAAAAGCAAATGATTTAATGAAATTTTTTGTTTCAGCGATTATGAGAAGAAATCTGTAAATAAATCACGAGTCAATTATATTTGCGGATCCTGTAATAAAATTAATTGATATTAGTAATTAATCAAAAAGTAATTAATATGGCAAGTAGATTAAAACTTAAGTATTTTGATATGTGTTCTGGTCGTAATGATTAAGAATTGGATATCAACCTTAGCGAAATCAAGTTTATAGAACTGCCTAAATCTGTTGTTATGTACTGATACCTCACTGTTATTAATTTATTTGAAAAAAAGCTTCATATACTGAGTTCTTTAAATTATAGCCTAATCAGACGATATTTTTATACTATATCATAACGTCCGCAAAAGGCATATGTTTTGTGTCAGTTTGGCGCAAATAACAGTATTACAATGCAGTTAAGTCTGACAATAAAACCAATCCCATTTCATTAATTGAGATTATCCATGAGACATGTAAAATTCCCTTTAATGCTATCAAACAATCATTAATTTAATCAGTATATAGGCCTATCCATGGGAAATACAGGCTATATAACTCGTCATGGACGGCAATTGAATTAAGTACAACATAACATATTAATGTGTTTAGATTTCCTGGAGAAGTAATAAATAAAATGATATATTAATTTGTAAAGTAAATATTATTCTTTCTGCAAATAAAAGAGATCCAGTAGTATTGTGATTAGAAAAATACTAGTCTAAAATCAATTTATTTTATTGTGGAACTCTTTATTGGAGATTAACTTTACAGGGAGTTGTTCCAGTATAGCTCTAGTTGTACATCTGATACTGAATACAGTTTAACTATTTTAAATTCGAAAGGAAAATCAATGGTGTCTAATGGTGCAAGCCTCAGTTCACGACCTCTCTGCACCATAAGAATACATACAAGACAAGTATTTTCTTCAATGATACATCTGAGTTTATTTGATCATCCATATAGATTTTAGGTTACTGAGTATTTAGTAATATTTAAATTATATGGAAACTTGTCTTTGAGATATTATGATTTAGCAAAAGTACATGTATCTGTATTGTGAGATATGGTAAGTGCATTATTTTCAGATGGACTTTATCTAAACTCTTCATGAAGTACGCTGCAAACAGATTAAATAACAATGAATATAATATCAATACTTCAACAACACTGAATATCATTCATATTGTTATGATTTAAATATTATTTTAGGTCCATCTATTACATTCTAGTAATGATCTAATTACGTGCGCAGGTGCAGTTAAATACAACCTACAATAGATTAATTAAGACGTATCTTTAAACAATATTTATATATGTTCTCGTAACACTAATAGTTATCAAAAATTCAAATAAATAGTTAAACAGTCATAGAATAACATTAAGTGTTTTGGAATCGTGAACAAATCCGTTTAAATAAAACAGACAAATCCCAAAATATGTCTTGGAAAATAAACATCAAGTGTAATGAATACCAGAAAGACACATTATAAATTTAAGAAATATTACATCGCCTGTATGCTAACGCACGAGAGAACTTAATGGAGATTTCGTTTGATCTAATTGACCAAAATAAAAGCGGAAGAATTAAATTTTACGACTGTATAGATCAGATAGACATAAAAAAAACAATATTATGATTGAAGTGTCTGGCAAGAGCGAGAGCAAGTGAAATTGCATGGAATAAATTCACTAGACAGAATTAAATCTGTTTCAGATTCCACACAATTTACTACCAAATTGTTATTGCATAATTTGGTTGAATTAGATTAATGTTCAAAAAAGCCACACTGTAATTTTTGAGATCGTTTGTATTTGATACTGCTTGGCTGTCTTAGACGTCACGCTCTGTGTCTGTGTTTCCGCTGAAATTGGCTTCATTCTATAGCCCTTTTTACACCAGGCCGCTATAAAGCGTTCAGTTTCTCGGTCCATACCAGGCCGCGTTAAAATGTTCCCATTTAAACAGTTCTCCAGCTGTAATGTAAATGAAAATAGTTCCCGGCATGGGTTGTCTTTGGATATCATCTTGAAGAAGTTAAAGTTAATCTTTGTATAGTCACCCTGATATAATCAACAATTGCACTGTGTAATGACGAAATTCCGCGGAAAAATGTGGCTTATAAGGCATGCACAGTAATGCGTTCTCGGTTACCGTTTACATTACACCAATTTATCGAGTCCGTTCCGAGACCACATCTGCGAGGTGGGCCAGAATTTGAACGATTCTGAGAACGTTTGCCTGTATACATTAGGCCTTCACAAAAATTCATCCGTCATATTACACACAACACGCTTTCTGTAAGTTTTTGACTTATGTTGAAAGGGTCATAATATGGAATTTAAAACTGTTGTTAGTTTTCTGTATCTTCAGTGAGAGAATGCAATTATCGTATTTTCAGGTTTTGCCCAAGTGTGTTTCTGTATTTGGGGAGTGTGGTTCCAGCTATATGGTTTCTGGAATTGCATGAAATGGAAACAAGAATTAATCTCAGAAATAATGTGAATGTAACTGTTAACAATTCTAATCAGACGGCGGAAGATTTGAGAGTCCAAATAGAAGGGGTAGGTAATAATGTATGGAAAACATGACGTATTCATACGCCTGTCAACTGTTATCTTTCAGTACAGTCAAGTAACCTAATTTCGTGCAAAACTAATTTCGTGTATCTCCGAAATGATAAATAATGTACATAATATGTGCTACCCTGCGTGACCTCTGCATTTGCGTGATTTGATGAACACGGGTTATCTCTACAACGTCAACCTGCAGAATTTTGACACGTGACAAACTAGCGGATTCCACGTCAGCAGAAAAATTCTATGGAACATGGTGTAAGCAATATTCTTATGTTGTTTCAATGAATTTTATCAATAAATTACTCTTACTTATTACTTATCTTATTTTGTCAGTCAATATGTCTTTAAATCATTGATCTTTGGATGAATTGTCATAAGTTATAATGAAATATTATTGAAGATAAATACTAAGACATGATAAGTATACCACTGGGTATCCATACTTATTTATATATTAAACATTATACACGAAAATAGGAGACGCATTTTGCAGCCGTTTACCTACGTTCCTAGTCTGGGTCGATTGAATTATGATTATGTGGACGCATCAGGATTTCTGACATGAGTAGTGATACTCAAGGTCAACTAAACAGGAATTTGATTGCATGCGAGCGTTAATTGTTTATCTTTGATGTACAATCAAATAAATTCTGGATCTGGTCTTAAAATTTACCAACTTGAAAGGGAATAATGCCAAATAACATTTCACGCATTAGATCACATATTGATCAGCCTTTGCAGTAATAGTTTTCTCGATTCTGAAAACTCTAATATAACCTGGAGACAAAGCTAGTTAGAATTTCTAAATGTTTGATTTGAATTACTAACTTAGTTATATTTATTCAAATATCAAATATTCACGCAAGTACATTAGTCATGAACCGTTTTAATCAACCTCTCCAGAAAAAACTGGAAACCAATCATATTAGTTGCAAGCTCTTTGATCATGATTCGTATACAAAATCCAGGTTCAAACTTGTATTAAGATTATATTTTACATTAGTGATAGATTTTGTTTACAAACAAACCTGTTAATTTGTCATGGCCATTTCAATAAATAAAACCTTTAAACGCCATTTTGGGACAAAAAAAGTAACCGAGATTTTCAGAGCCGAAATTATATTTTGCCCTACCTTTCCATGGTTTAGGGTTTATATTTTAATGTAAACGTCTAATCCTCTCAAGTGTTTGTTGACATTGAAAGGTACAGGATATCAAAATTTCAAGTGAACAAGTAGTGAACATTCACTCATTTAGTGGTATTTTGCCATATAGATTTCAATTACTATATGAACAGGGTGTTGTTTATTTAAAGGGACAATATATTCTTAGTCATGCAATGAGATTAGTCGATCATCGCACTTTTGATAGATTGCAAAAATAATCAATGACTTCTGAATAGGATATGCTACATTACTAAATAATTCAGGAAAAACAAAAGTATTCTGAGGAGATTTTTCCAATAGGGGCCTACTCTTATCTATATATTTAAGTCAGTAAAGTGAATATACTAAGCGAAGTACCTTATAATTATTATATACAGGGTATATTTCGGTGATACCAAATTTGTCTTTATGGACAATAAACTTCAATGTTCAGACACAATAATATACTGAACGGGATTTACGTGGGGATTTTAATGAGATATTTTGTAATATTACTGAACAGGATATATATAACAGTAGGATATAAAATCAAAAGAATTCGGGTAATCACATTTTTTCTATTTTTACATGTTTACAAGGAGTGACTGTGAAAATGACATTTGATATTAATGCATTATCAACCGTTCATACTAAAGTTTATATGACTCACGGGTTGGGCACAGAATGAAAACAGAATATGACACTGAGTAGCCTATATTAAATCACATCCGTGAAGGTTACCTTAAGTCTTCTATTTTGGACAGAGAAAATATTTGTCAAAATAACATGGGGAGCTACATGATTGCTTCAACACTTTTTTATTCTCCAACATTATAATCTGTCCTTCTTCTATCGTTTGCCCAGAATCTGACTTCATTTTGTGAACTTGATATAAGTGACTGATAAAAAAATAATTGTAGGGTTTTAAATTATTTTCACTATTTCCAGATTGAAAGAAATAGATTTTGAAACTAGAAATAATAATAAAAGCTATTGTTTTGTTGTGATATATATTGAAACGATACAGGCCTGCTGACTTACTGCCCATGAATCTAAGAAAACAAGGTAGAATATTCAAGGTCGCTTTGCGAAATTACAATTTTTCATTATTTTGTTGTAGTGGGTGATAAATATACCATTGGAATTGACGTCAGATTTATGGTTAAGAGTAATAGAGCAGTTTTTATTATTGATGTTAATCATTGGTCGATGGATGTTACCAAAAGGTTCTTTAACTCATGATCAGCTGTCGCAGCTGTTACTGGTATATGTTGGTACTGCAGCTGATATCGTTGAATTCTATGAAGCATTTAGCGAGGAGAAGGTAACTGTATTATATCAATTATGAATATAATGGTGATCGATAACGAGTCAGAGGCATGTAATCCCGAATTACAACTCGGATAAGCTTATCAAATGACAAAACTTCGCGAGTATTGTATTTGGAAGGTATTGAAAATAGGTTTTGTTTTGTTTAAAAAATGTTGTTATCATTTATAAAACTATAATGTTTGTCTGTGATACTTTAAATAACGATGAACGTCAAACCCACCGACTCGACATATTTCATTCCATGCTTTTCCAAATATTTCAAACAATCTTATCTCTATTTTAGGTGAAGTACAATCGATTTTTATGTTACATTATTCTTGGTATCTGGACAACAAGTCTTCTTCAATTTTCATTGGTTTTAACAGCAACTAGAGCAAGACAGGACCAATCTGGTGTACCCAGACCTATACCACTTGAGATACAAGACAATGTTAGTACATGTTGTAATCCAGAGATTTATGGGATTGTGATTTCCATCATGTTACAAGATTTACCATTCTTGGTGGTGCGACTGCTTCTCATTTTTCGTTACAAGGTTGTGAGCTATACAAACTTTTTCTTCACGTCGAAAAACACATTGGTTATCATATTACTCATGTATCGTTTGATCGTCATAGAAACCTCAGCAGCTAAAGCCTCTGGGAAATCTCGTCAAAACTC